AAATGATTTCAATTCGAGAAGAGAAAGATCGTAAATCAATCCACTTATAACGAAACTTATATCTTGTCCCTTGAGTGTTTAGCACTTTTAAGTTGTAATTTATTAATATAAACGATAAATTTCTAGTCGAGAATTGATTCGTATGCAAGACAAGAAGTTCTCTTTTTACTGAATACAAATTAAAAGGAAACCCAGAAGAAGTTTATAAAAAGTTTCAACAGTTGACGTGGGTAACACAAATATACTACCAATTTTGCTAAGTGAAAAAGTACACGGAGCCTGCAAGCAATTTTATCTCCCATGTCTCTTTCTCTTTCTCTTTATCTGCCTCTGCCTCTGTCGTCTTTCACTTTGCGGTCATGTCTACCGTATGGCCTCAATGGCCAGGGCACATCAGACATCTTGGGAGGCTGTTTTCGGGGCAGTTGGGGCAGCTGCTACGGATGACGTCAGCACGTAACAATCATATGGGCACCTGATGAGAGTCGAAAGTAAATACAAACAAGTATCACGAAGACATGTCCAGTTCCGTTCCGTGCCGAGCGGATCGGTTCGGTTCGGTTCAGTTTGGTTCAGCTTGGGGCAACTCGCGACTGGTAAATATTTCGCTTTGTCCTTGGGTATATTGTGTGGCGGTTGGGACAAAAGTCATAAATCAAATTTAATTTGAGAAATATTGCCGCATTTTTGGGCGGTTGGAGGAATTTTTGCGGCAACAAACCAAAGCATAAATATTTGTAATGTTATTTATGAATGTGGGCATAGTCAAACAGGATATAATAAAATGCGATGGATGCTTTAATTAAATCTTATCACACGTTAACTAAACACTGAAATTATACTCAAATATCCCTCGAGTGTCCTCCAAACTGCTCTCAATCATATTATATGTGTCCTGCTGTTATGTTGTGCTCCTCTTCAGTATTCCCAACGACCTGTTCAATTATTTGTTTCGATTTATGATGCGTATTCGCTTTTTTTTTTGTGTTATTTTTATTAATATTGCCCTGTAAACGTGATTTCAGGTTGAAGTTCATGTTAAATTCTATTGCAATTTGTCGGCTGCTTAGCTTTAACAGCAACAGCTTCCTCCAAACTAAACCGATTTTCAAAAACAGAATATTTTTATTCATGTTTTGGCATTTAAATTAAATCTGCGCAAAAGTTAAAATCGATTTTTTTCAGCTTCGATTTGGTATCGGCGCGAATATTTTCTTTGCCAAAAAAGTAATACATTTTTGCAAATGGTTTGGCCTCTAATTAAATTCTGAAATAGTACTTTAGGCCAACTGCTTAGATTGGAGCACAGAATTTGGAATGTTTTCCATGTATTTGAACAATTTGGAGAGTTATGGTTATCGAATGCGCTAAGAGCTGTTGACATCCATTTACCTTTTACACATTTACGATTCAGGTTTTGGGACGTTGCCCTCGAAGCAGCAGCTCATCCACAAATCCACAAATTAAGCCAAAAAACTAATTGAATCACCTTAAATCAACGTTAACACAATTTGCAAACAAATGGAAATGGGGAAGGCGTAACACTCTTATTTTATTATATACCAATTTACGCACACACGTAGCATGAGAAATTTGTCATTAATTAGTCTACAGGTGTTGTTTTCCAAAGGTAAATTTTGTGTGTGTGTGTGTGTGTGTGTGTGTGTGTGTGTCCGAGTATATATGTATTTATGTGTATTTATGCTAGAAGCGTGTGAAGAATTTGTTCGGAGCTCATAAAAATTGGCAAACAAAGGCAACTTTGGACAACGGACGATTCGAGCCCGGCAAATTTGCGTGTGCAACATTTGTTGGCAACACGGCTTGGGTTTGTTGTGCCCCCAACGGACTTACGTAAATTTTTTTATTTTTTTTTTTTACGACAATAACGCAGATTCAGACAAGGCATAACAACAACAACAACAAAAAAATAGCTGCGAATGCGAAAAAAGAAAATATGGCATTTCACGAAAAGGAAGCACAACGATCGATTTTGGAATTGGCAAGGCTTGGAAGGGCCATCGAATCAAATGGATGTGTATGGGAGGGGTGCGGGAGGCGGTGTGATATGGTTTGTTAGTTGGGTGGTGTTGCCGCCACGTGAGGCGAGGGCGATAATGATGACACATACAGGGGACCTAACCTTGCCAGCGGTGTGGCAAAGTCACCGTCAATTACAACAAATGACGTAAGACAAATGCAAGAAAGGAAGCGCGCAAAAGAGCCAAAATTGTCTCATTTTGAATGTGATGCCAAACGATTATTATGCTCGTTTATACAAAAATTAAATAGTGCCATTCTGTACACCTGTTGTTGGCCAATTATGTATCTAATATAAGCCAGTTTAGTCTAATAGCCTCAGATTATATGTACAGAGCCTAGAAGTGGCTGTACTTGGAAGTTGTTCGTTGTATGCTCAATTTAAAAAATAGAACAACGTAGATATATATCTGAAATGTGAGGCAGAACGGTTTCAACTGCATTTCAACTGGATATTTCCGCTTATTTCTACTTATCTGCATGTCCATCGCGACATACACTTGCCATTAGTTCGCTGAGTTCCTTTAAATACCATTTGCAAAATCGCTCGTCATTTGCATGTTTGCATGTCAACCTACCACTTAACAAAACTCCTGAATATATACAAATATATATATATAATGTATATGTACTGCATAGCTGCACTATGACCCAATCTTTGTGATAGCTGCGCAACAAGATGATAGGTTTAAATCCTTATTGTGGTGTGGCTTCGTTAGATTAGTTATTTGTCATCTAAGTAAATATAGTGTTATTGATATTGATATTTGTACTATTAATATTGCATATAATAATTAAAAGTTTAACGCTACTGATTGACTTTTCCTCACTGCAATTGATTTCCTATTTGGTTGCAGTGCATCCAATTTTGTGTCATGTTGCGTGCCTTGTGGCCATTATTTTGAAAGAAGAAATGAATATAGTCTAGTACACCCAATGCTAGACTAAAATATATCCTGTGCAACCAGCAAAAAGTTTCTACATTGAAAGCATACATTATTTCTTTACAAATTAAGAAGTTCTCAGTTACTCCATTGCAGGCACTAACTCAACAAACACTCCTCGAAATACTTAAAGCATCCAGTTATCTTTTATATATATAAATATATGTGCAATATAACCTGTTCAATTGTCAGGAGCATCAATTTGTATTTATCTTTATGAAACTGCATTGTAAAACTAGAACACTTCCCCACTCCCTTCTCCGCTAGTTAGCAAGAAATCATATTCCCCGTAGCACGATTTATTGAAAACCAAAATGTAGTAGGCAAAATATTCCGTGAGCCATGTAAATATATGCACATACCCTGGAGCCATAAAAGTTAGTTTGAATGAGTGTATTCAGTAGTGGAGAATATTTGTGAGAGTCCGTTGTAGAAAAGATGAGTTGAGGTTTTAGTTGTATTCCAATTGAATTTCTCTATGATCTCTGATCATTTTTGGAATGAATTTCAAACCAGTGGTTAAATCATGATAAAAAAAATCATAATTATTGGATATAAATGCATAAGTTGTGGGGAAATCAACAAAAGTCCTTTTGCGTTTGACTTTAAACATTGGGTATTTTTCAGCCAGGCAACCATAACGACAGGATCTTGGTGGTTGGTGTAGCTAGTACGTAGAACATAAAGAACTGGCTGAATACACAGGTAGGCCTCAAGGTAATGCGAACCGTTGTAACAGTGGCTTACTCGCAAAACACGCAAGCCAAACATTTAAATCGATTTCGAGGCAACCTTAGAATTTTCCAGTCCATCGAGGGAGTCAAATGCTTTTGACACATTTAAACTTGTAGATAGACCTCCTTGTACTGGTGGTTAAAAGAAGTCTTAAGAAGGCCAGTTCGGTCGTTCCGTTCGGAAATGCAATGAGGTCAAAACCATTCATCTATTTAACGGGCCCCGACTAGCATACATATCAAGGCAAGTGTAAATTCAATAATTGCTTAGCTGGCAAACAATCTGTGACGTAAGTGCTGTAGCCTGCATAATGCATTTGATTCACATATATATATACATATATATATATATAGATATGTAGGGATTTAGTTCATAGTTTACTATTCAGAGTTCAGAAATTAAGATGGACAAAACTAGTTGTTGAGGATGGTACATTAAATAAATAACGTATACTTAATACTACATTAAATATATCGTATACTTAATACTACTACTACTTAATACCTTTTATGTATACGTATATATAGATATACAGATTGAGTTCGATTACTAACAGAGGATTGTAGAAAATATAAAATATTTGTATATACCCTATACTTTTCACTGTATACACTGTATTTTCTATATAGATATATATACACTCTTATCTACGATTCTGATTCGTTTTGCTGCAATATTGCATTTTTGGTATACTGCCTTTGCGGCTTTTATTAGATTTCGCTCCTCTGAGACTCGTTTAGGACTTGCTTGCTGCTCTGGCCTCCAGCTCACCTCATTCACTCAAGTCAACTGGGCTTGTGTGTGCTGCGAGGCATAGTGAGCGATATAAATCAAATGTTTGGCAAAAAGTGCAGAATGGTTAAAGAAAAGAAATGACATCAGAGGGAGGCATGTCTACATCGGTCCCGTGAGTTTTTGTGGCCATTAGCCAGACGGACTGGCTGGCTGGCTGGCTGGCTGGCTGGCAATTGAGCGTGATTAATTGAATTGCCATTTTCTAAAAGCTTTGAAAACTTATTGAATAAGCATTGGGCATAATCAATTCTGAAGTCAATACAATGCATTTGCTCAAAGTTTGAAGCAAGTAACTTTTATGACAGCAATAAATATAAGCGTATGATAAAATATATAGAATTTAAAGAAACTTTTTATGTCCACGCTGAGTTAGCATTATTTGTGCTTTTAAATATTAAAATTATAAAATGAGATCACAAAAAACAATAAATTATTACTAAATACCATCTTAATAACGTTTTAAACATTCTTTTTTTTTCTTTTTAGGTAATTTAAATGTCCTTCATTATTCCCTATATACATATGTATATACATTTATTACACCTGTCGGCCATTTGACATAATGTGATTGCCGCCTGAGGATATCAGCGAACCGGGAAATAAACAATTTTTCAGAAAATAAATGTACGGTAAGCGGCAGCGACCCTGCACAAGGAAGAAAACGCGCAAAAAGGACTAAATAATCCAATATCGAAATGCTTCATTTTAAATCAAAAATCCATCTAAGGTGAGTAGCAATATATAATATTAAATTGGAAGGTCCGTTGGAGCGTGCAACAGGAAGACATGCACATCCTACCGTACAGTTGACAAATATGGTTTACCGTCATATATTTTAAATTAATGCTCAGAGCCAATAATATACGTGTTTCTTTTATGATTTTAATATGTTTTTGTGTTGGCTGTCATTTTTTATGTGGACATCTATGCGAATGGGTTATTGATTTATTAACGATGTTTTTTTCTTTCTTTTTTTTCGCAACACGTGGAACGCATTGAATTGACATTTCCGACACCTTATATGTTTATTTTAATAATTATACATTTATAACAAACAGATGTCCACTGTTTAATACATTTTTGTTTACATCATTTGTGTACTTGAATTTGAATCTACTTAAATGAAATAGAATTTGATTTTTTTTATCGTCATATTCTTGTTTGAAGTTATAAATTTCGTAGCTGTTAGAAACGGCTATTGAAAAAAGTAATTGCAGTCACTTAGCACATATCATCTAAAAGAAAAGACTTTTTTTGGTTATCGTTATATCCTAGTTTGAAGTTGTTATTACTGATTAACTTTGTTAACAAAAACTTTTTGTCATAAGCCAACATAAATCCCAACCGAACAAGACAAGGCGTTACACGTTTCGTGACAAAACTGCTGTTATTGAATTAGTTACAAAGCAGAAAGTTGGACTTAAGTTGGACACTGACAAAGTCAGACAGACAGACAGACAGACAGATGCGATGTTGTGTGTTAAATCATTATTGACATGTTGCCGATTATTGTGTCTCTAACTTCAGCTAATCAACGGTTAACAAACTTGAATCAACTAATTAAGCAATACAATGCATATAGGCTACCATTAAATGTTGTACTAAATAGGGCACAGGAAATGATACTAAATTCAATGTGTTACATTGGGGAAAAAATAACGCTTCTTAAACTAATGACTATTCATTTATAAAGTGATCCACCCACGACGAACGTAAGCATTGCATACCGATTGCAATCCCTTACAAAATCAGGGCAATAATTTTTTTTGTTGCTCTTTACGTGCGGCGCCATCGAATAATTCGTTGTTATTCAAAAGAACACTAACGAACAGGCTGCATGCATGAAACCCTCCGTTGGCTTCGTCCAATAAGTGGCAGCTGGGTGTGGGGCCACTTTTGTCCATGAGCAGGACGGCGGCGGCGGAGTGCGAACGTAATGGGTGGTGGCCTTGCGGCATTACCAATTGTATTCGCCAATCGGGAGCATCGAGCAGCGGAATTAGCCACCACCACAGCCGTCGTTGGCGAAAGGCCGTCGGAACTGTCGTTGGAAGAAGCGTGGACTTTGAAGGCAGCACCAATGCACGAGAAAATAGTGGAGGAGTCACGAAAAGCAAAGACTGAGAAGGTCCATCTTCTTGGCAACGCTAAGGAGAAGCCATCCAAAGCCGACAAAAATCCCCTCAAACAGTCCAAATTGGCGGAAAGATTGCGCCGTTCATTTCGACGTACTGCACACAGTTCGCTGGAGGCAAAATCGACACAGGACGAGCATCCGGCCAAGGTGGACAACAACAATCTTATCGGTCGCATACCCTTCTCGGTAGCCAGCCAAGTGCATCTGCCCGGCCTGGGTCTTGGTGGGCACATCAATACGGCCCTGCTACTGGACAGCCCCGACGAGTGCACCCCACCCGAATACGCATACCAGCACTTGAGCAGTGTTGCCACCACGAACACCAACTCGAGCAGCTCGCTCGAAAGCAACTACGAAGTGAGCGAGCTGAGGAGCAGCTCACACGCTAACATCCACTGGGCCAGCAGTCAGCCAAACTTTGAAATGGGCGGAGAGATGAGCATCAATGCCACCAGCAGAGAGACGCCCGAGCAGAAACTGAAACGCAGCAATACTACAGCACAACAAGGACAGGCCCAGGCACAAGGACAGGCACAGGGACAGGCACAGGGACAGGCACAGGCACAGGCACAAGGATTAGGTAGTAATCGTAGTGATCAGCAGCCAGTTGGCAGTCGCAGCTGCAGCATCACCAGTGAGAGCAGCTCGGTGAGAATGACGCGCCTGCAGAACTTTCTGTTTAGGAGTAGCAACGAGAGCTCACGCAGCTGCCAAGGTCATTCGAATGACGGTTTCACTGCGTCCTCGTTCAATTCATCGTCGGGCGAATGGGAACAGTTGGGCGCCCATGTTCTATCCAGTAGCAGTGGCGTTGGCGGCTTACACGACCTGAATACGGGCTCCTTTCCCGAGGAGACAACGCCGGACGAAGCCGATGGGGAGGAGACTGCGTTGCCCGTGGAGAATGCCGAAGCTGGTGCATATTACCAATACACGCTGACATCTCCAAATAATCCATTTCTACCCGAAATTACGGCACGTACCTATCATAGTACGTACGAGGACGACGACCTGGCCGAAGGTGCCCTTCAGCCTGAGGAGCTGGACTGTAATGTGACGTCCGTCAAGTACACCGGCTGGGGAACCGGCTCCCGATCCGCACAGCTGCCAACGCCCGCCTACAGTCGCGCCGGCTCCCAGGAGTCCACGTACAGTGAGAGCGGTGTTAGCTGTCCGCAAGGACCAACTCCCAGTCCAGCATCGAGCTCTTCCTCCACGCCCGGACGCCACAGGCGTAAGCTCTTCAGCCTGAACTCGCCCACGCGTCTGCTGCATCATCAGCAGACCAGCACAAGTACTCAGTCTCATCAGCCGCAGACGCCGCATCAGTCTCATCCGCAGAGAATTGAATTGTCCGCCTCGCCGACCGATAGCTTTGGCTCCAATGTTTTGATGCGGAGCCTGAACCCCTTCTTACCCGCCAGCAGTTCGCCAATTGCTGTGCCCTCGGATTTGAGGAGCAAGCGCGAGGAGTTTCTGCGTGCAACAATGAAAATCTGTCTGGTGGTTTCACCGCCCGCAAGCAAACTGCAGGTGAGTGAGTCACTCTTGCCGCCAATCAACTTGTAACAAGCAAATAAAAACTTTTACTCACTTTCTTTCCTTGTTTTCTTTCTTTTTGTTTATTATTAATTGGCTTTGTTTCTCTTTTAGGGATGTGTTTCACACTTCTTATAAGTAGACATCACCCCTTTTTATGGTATCTCATTTATAGTCGGTTTATTTTAACTTATTTGGTTTTTCTTTCTTTTTATTTTTACGTACAAATGTATTTATTCACGGTAAAGTGAGCATTGCATCTGCATTCAGCCAAGCGCAATAAAACAATACTTTATTGATTGGCCGAGTTTGTTGCACATGCATTCCAATCAGTTTAAACAGGAATCCAGTGTGCAAATACCAGAAAACATGATTTCAGTTAACAAACCATTGCGGTTTGTGCCTGAATATTGGCCAAGAACTCAACACTGCAAAGGAATTGTGCTGACCACATTTTATGACAGTCGTCTCAGACCCACTATCTGTCTGTCTGTTTAAATGCAAACTAGTTCCTCGGTTTTGAACTTCTATAACTTTCATAAGATTATTTTTCGCTTTTTGGTTTTTGTTTTTTAATTTAAACAATGGTATGTAATCTTCGGCGTGCCTAAGATATCTATTCTATCTTGTTAAATTATTGTAAACGGCATTTATTTAATTATTTTTTCTCTTTGTAGAGATTCCTGATTTACTGAATATTTTTAAGCTAATGATTGATGTACATACACATACATAAATATTGTTTTAAGCTTAAAAAACTGAAAAAAAAAACGAAGTACGGCGCACCAAATTCGATTATAAAAAACGGATATTGGGTCTACGCTTTGTGGATTCCTGTCACTCACACACTTTTTCATTTATTCCATTTCAGTTGAAATCAAAAAGTCTCACCCATTTGGATGGCCTCGACACGCTGGTGCCCTGCCAGCACGGAGTTGCCGCACCCACTACAACGGGTGCAGAGGAGACCCTCGCATCCCCCGGCCTGTCAGCGCCGGCGGCCACACCTGGCCAACAGCAGACACAAGCGGTAAGCTCTGGATATATTGGGCTAAGTAGAAAGAAAAAATAAAAAAAATAACACAAGGTGCATTCAGTTCGAGCAACTGCATCCTGCCTACAAATGTGCAATCGTTCTAATCCAATTGTTCCACGCCCCCCTTCGGTTTTTTCCTGTTTTTTCAATTATTTTTTGTTAATTACCATTCTTGTTGATTTATGGCATTTGCCTTCATATTTTACGGACTCTGTTCAACTGTTCCGTCTTGTCTTTTTTATGAGCTGCTAGTATTTACTCAACCTGAATTATTCACTATTTCCTGTACTTATCCTTTTCATTATAGTTGATTGTGGTTTTCTATGATTTTTCACATTTTTTCTTGCTGTTTCCTTAGTCAATCATCTAGTTGGCTGTTTGTTTTTTGACAAATATGTTACTTCTATTCACCCTATGTTCATTTACACGCTCTCTCTTTCTCTCTCTTTCTCTCTCTCTCTCTCTTTCTCTTCCTGTTTTCTTTAATCAATGCTACTCCTTATGCATACATATATAAATATATATACATACCATACTATGTAGGGGGAAATGCGCAATCCCCTCAAGGTCTGTCAGCATCCACACTCAACCCATACGACCACAACTTGTCCACCGCCCACGATTTATACACAAGCTCCACAATTTGTGCGTCGATCGCCGTCCCTGATGCTCTCGCCGAGCAGCTGTCAGGCCTCGGCCAGTGGGTCAGGTGTTCGGTGTAGCGTTAGCTCCACCCAGCTTCCTCATCCGCATCCGCATTCGCATCCGCCCTGCACGAGTGCGTCTGCAGCAACCCATTTGGCAGCTTCCTCTAAAAATGTGCAGTGCAATTTGGCAGCATCCTCAATCTCAGCGTCAACTTCATTGATTCCTCCTAATAGCGACAAGCCCACCACGGGCAATGTAGTTTACTACGGCGGAAACAAGAGCGTGACTTCAACGACAATGACGTCATCGCTGATACATCGAAAGAAACCATTATTGACACGCAGCGAGGTGAGTCACCCAACCACCTTTCAAATCCCAAAGAAGAAGAATCCTTTTGCCGCACTCAACAGTTTGTGTACTGATGATACTTATCCATTATTAATGAAATTAAACGAACAACTATTCCCATTGGAGAATTCCTTAAAGACTGACTGGTAAAACTTTATATAGAAGAGCATCTGTACTCTTAACACTCTTTTGAATAGCTATAAAAGTTTCTGGACAGGCAAATTTCTACAAAATGTTTATAGTTATAGTTGACAGCAGTGCCAATTTAGCATTTCACCTACACAAGTTGTCAGTTGAAATCGTGCGTTGTGGATGAACTGGAATCACTTTGCTCTGTTTTTGTTTTGTTTTGTTTTTATTATTAGTAACTACAATTTCCATCTGCGATTTAGTCAATAAACCGACAAAGGACAAGCGGAGCATTCGTTTGGTTGCGTTTTCATCTTTTTATATTTCATACTCAAGGGATTTAACAATTTTCAACGGTTATCTCGATTGCTAAATCGAACTCTGTATTCTATCCACTATTTTGAATTTGAGAACACTCCATTGATTATTTAACAAAGCAGAAATTTAATTTCGATAAAAATATTCCTCGTTTAGGTTTCAAGCTCGGAATTCTTTTCGGTATCCTTTTGTTTGGAGTCATCTCAGTTGCCGGACGAGGAGTTTATACCGGCGACCAAAGGCACAACATTACTGTGAGTATTTTAAAGATAAAATATGCATATGCACCATTTCATAATTTTTCAAATTACAGAAATGCACTGAAGAAGGCACTGCAAAGGCGAAATCTTACCTTCTCACAAATCACAATCACAGACAATAATCCCACGTACAGCTATTTAGATACAGGTATTGATGGCTATCCTCATAGTTGGCATGTCTAAATAAATATGTTTTGAAATTGTTAGGTCCGTCGACCATGACGATCCTCTTGGACGAGTATACTGATGTTGAGAACTTAGCGGGTCATCATCTTGTTATTTCGGAACGCGACAGCAGTCGAAAAACGTTACAAAAGGCAGCATCATTTGTGAGTTGATTCAGGAATTTCTTTTATGAATATGTAATTAATGAATTTCGCTCTTTCCCAAAGGGCTCTCGACAGCGACCACATCGTCTGCTTTCATCAGCGTCAACAGAGGAGACAAGTGAATTGGGTACAGGGAAGCAGATAAAGCAACGTTGGACTTCCATATTTAGCATAAAAAATCCGCAACAGAATCAACTTTATGACCTACTCAACGACTTTGCGAAAAATGGTGTGCCCCAGCGTCCAGAAGTTTTGAGTTCCGAACATTCCACGCTTTCCGACCCACTCAGCTATCTACAAAACATGGACAAATCATGGCGGGACTTTGTCGATAGCGTTTCGATGAGTGATAGTGAGATTAAGATACAAACTGCCATATGGGAACTAGTCACCACGGAGGTCTATTATATTCACGCTCTGCAAACAGTCACAGATGTAAGAAATCCCATTATTTGGTTAATACATCCTAAATAATTACTTTGTTGTAGCTTTTTTTGGCCTGTTTGGAAGCAGTGCAGGAGCAACGCCTTCTGATTGACGTCGATCAGCACAGGCTGTTCTCAAATGTACGGTCCGTGTGCGAGGCAAACATTAAATTTTGGAGTCTATGGCTATACCCGATGGTCGCACACAGTATTCGAACGCATGAGCCACTGAGATGTGCATTCTTCCAGGAAGGTTTTATTACGTTTGCCTCAATCTTTGCGCCCTACAAGGTAAGGCCCTACAACAATGTCAATTATCATTTGCTAGCCGAATCACATAGGGTTTTTTTTATGTACGATATTCAGGTATACTGTGCTGAGCAGAGTACGTGTCAGTTTTACTGCAAGGAACTTAATCAAAATAATGCCCTGTTCACGGCATATCTGGCGTGGTGCGAATCGCAGAAGATGTGCAATCGTTTGCGCCTCGCCGATATCGTTGTGCGTCCTATGCAGCGGCTAACCAAATATAGTCTGTTACTTGCGGCCATTAAAAAGCATATGAGTGATGTGAAGGAAATTGAAGTTATGGACACCATGATCCACAGCGTCGAGAATTTTGTTGGTAGCGTCAATAACCATTTGACAATGCGACAGGAGAGTGAACGTCTCAAGGGTGTTATGGCCCGCATCGAATCCTACGATGTGGTGGTAAGTATAAGTCAACAAATCAAATATTCAGCCATATCACACTTATATAAATGATGACAGGATACTAACAACGAGATGCTGGATAAGCTGATCAAACAGCACAGTCAAATGTTTGACCTGTGCGCCCCTATGCGCGGCTGTCCATCCTACCATGTGCGTCATCTGTTCATGGAGGGGGACCACAAGTTCAAGGACAACGTCGGCAAAAGCGATGTGCATTGTTTCCTGCTGACCGATATACTGCTCGTGTGCAAGAGCATTGCAAAGAAAGGATTGGGCGCCCTTAAGGTCATACGCCAGCCTTATCTGACCGATCATCTGATCGTGCATTTGGCGCACAACAATATTTTGAATTGTGTGTATCTCAATGAGTTTCAAGTGGCCACCACAGCGTTTACGCTGCAGTGCACCGAGGCGAAGAACTGGTATGATGCCTTGTGGCGCGCGAAAACCATTTATCAGAGACTGAAGCGAGGCAATGGAGGCGATAGTTTTCGGTTTGGCGGCAGTGGCACAAGTGCTGGCACTGGCGATTCCCTCGGCGTCCGCAAGTCACCAATTAACTCTTCAATCGGCAGTCATGTGTCTAGTGCAAACAACAGTCACAGCGGCAGCTTTGAGTGGAACGATTCGCGAAATATATCGATTGATTTTGAGAAAACCAACTCGTTGTCCAGCGACGAGGGATCTAATCTAATGGGTAAGACTCTCTGTAAGTAATACTCAAGCTCCTCACAATTCATCTTCTCTTCCATATATCGCTTACAGTTAACCAGGGACAACCGTCAAAGGGTAAGCAGCAAATTTTTAGGAGCGTGCCCAAGCCACAGATTGGAACGATTGCCTCGACATCGGCCAATACATTATCCGTGCAACCGGTAAACCACCTGGGTCAGAGTTTGCCCAACTTGAACTTACAACACAGCCAAACGTAAGTCGCCACAGACAATGCTACGCTTCCTGCTTACTAGAAGCAAATGAGCAAGCAATCACATACATAAGTATTCACTATTCATCTTCTGATAAGCATTTTCCAGTCATTTTGTTTAAGTCCTTAAGACCGTCCGTATACGTCGTTAATGTTATATTATACTTACATCTTATATACATAAAACAAGCATATTTATATCTGTATACATAGTTTGGCTAATTTTAATTTTGTAAAGCAAACATTTTTTAAATAAATATATATACATATTTTTTATTATGCATACATATAATGTAATATCAAATACTGTCTTTCATCTAAGCAAACATTAAAAACGCCCTCACAATGCTCTGCTTGAATTCACCATTAAATCTCTCACCTCAAATGTTCATGTGCATTTAAGCCACCATACGCAAGCCGTTCTAAATACTCTTCTCTCTTTCGTTTAATATTTGTTGTGCTTTTAGAGCACACGCACGCACAGAGCTCGAAAAGCCGAAAGTTGAGCTGAAGCTTAAGAAAGAAAATAAAATGTGTAAAGCTTTTCCAATCATCTCTCAGCTCAGCTTTATGGCTATATTTGTGCTCGCGCCTTAAGCTTTTTTCCCACTTGAAACGTATTTAGCTGCAAATTGGTTTATTATTCATTGAGTTGGCTTTTTTAGCTTGAATACTTTGTAGTCCGGCGACTTTTCGTCTGATCGTTGTTAAAGTGAACTTTACCAATACTTATAGTAACAATACATTGCTTGTGCCGGGCACAACGACTAGTCACTCGGGTAACTTATTGTTGTCGCCCAGTCATCGTGGCATTTCCTATCCACCGCCGAGTCCAACTAGGTGAGTCCGTAAACACGAAAAATCGGAGCAGTTATAGCATCATGTTCATTTATTATATATTCGTATCTCTCTCTCTCTCTCTCCCTGCTGACATATTTATGACATTTATTTTTTCTTCGCATATATGTGTAACATTGCATTTTCGAATGTCTCATGTGCCATGTGTCCACCCACCATCACCATATGTATGTAACGAATGGTCGAAAATCAACTACCAACAATCGAATCCAATTCATTCCGATCCAACCATTTAAATGCGTACTGTGTTCGTGTCTCTAGAGTGCCGTTAAGACGTGGTATGGCATTCTCCACTTCAACGAAGAACCCACCCCTGCTGAAGACGCGCAATATCACATCTCAGAACAGTATTAATTGGCATCAGATACCTGCAACGCCCACACCGACCAGTCCGCGATCGCAGCACAATTCGCCGGGCAATGCTTCTAGCACCTGTCCAACTGATCCGAGGCAGCTGCAGAAGCAGATATCCCATCAGATGCCCTTGCAAACGGCCCAACAAAGTCATTTGGACCTTCAGCGAAATTTAAGCAATGAAACCGATGTTTAATACCAGCCAATATATAATTGGTCAACAATAAAATTAATTAAGTTATTAGATTAGATATACTGGACTAAAGACAGACTTTTCTTTTAAATGGCCATCGGATAAAAGCAAATAAAGTATAGAGTTGGTCAATGTAGTTGTTAATACTGCACCTTTGGGTCCAAATAATATACGAATATTACAAAAAGCATTCCAGCTAAGTGCTGTCCATTCCCATTGTCTATCCATCTACAAGTCTACATGTGCATATATAAACATATTCAACAGTTATACGAATGCATTCAAGAGTACTCTTCCAAAAAGTATAAGCATAAAATAAAATAACTAAAATCTAAATATGAAAATGTGAATGTATAAAATTTTATAAACTTTTGAATACACACATTTACATATATAAATATATATCTATAATAACCATAATAAATAGAATATACATATGAGCTACCACTGTTATTCATTAAATGAGGAACCTATTAATTATTATATATAAAGCATGAATACATTTAAAACACGTTTTTTTCAAACTTTATTCGCTATTGCCATATCTGTCTTATATGCAAACTAGTCTACCTATTTCAACCAAATATTAATTAGGACCTGTCCCTCTCATTATATATGCCTGTAGCTGCATTTGCAGAGAAATCGTACATTGTGTTTCCCTTTTTAATGTTTGATAACAACTTTTACACTTTTACACATACATACAAGCACATAATCACATTTCATTTGTTCCTCTAGACAATTCAACGATCAGACCAATATTAATATGATATATACTATTTAAAATATATCCTTTTATTAGAATTGAAATGTGTTGATTGAAGCTACCAATACAATAATGGACGTGCTTCACCACAGCTAACACAAATCACATGCAATCGGCACTATATATATATATATACATATACATATATATATATGCATATACGTATAGAAAATTTGTGTAGATTTGGTCCGTCAAATCTGGTGTGTAATGTACGCTCAAAATATTACAACAGCAAAAATACATATTTACTATATAAGTTATAGTTTATAAACTATCAGTTATCCCTTAGGCAACTCATTTACAGAGGTCGACAGATTAAAAATGAAAAATAAGTAGAATTTTTACAGAAGTGGCTAAAAAAAACTTTGCTAGGTATCGGTTCAACATAAAACTAATCAGTAAAATATAGGTTAACTTTTTAGAATTCACACCTAATGAAAAATGAAATACAGTCTAACTTCTCGATAATTGAGGACATCCAATGTAACAAGAATCTTTAAACAGTTTCCGATTGTAAAAATCAAATAGAGAGATTCAAATAAGCAAGAGAAGATAGGCTATATTCCAATCTACTATCATCGGGTGTATTTATCTTTCTTTATAATTTGCTCGACATTCTTTATATGCTTATTCTAAAATATACTATATCCAGTTGCATAAATTTTAACAACTTTTGGGCATACAAATATGTGATAAACTTACATAGAATGGCTTTAAATAAGCCTATTTATATTCAAAAATGTACAAAAGCTAACTTCATTTTAGTTGGAAAACATACTAGTTTTGATAAAAGATAATGTACTTGTTCGTGTTTCTGTTCAATTAGAAAACTGCTTTCAATAGAATATGTAGTAGTGCCTAAGGAATGATAAACGCTCTTCCTGCCATTAAATTGTTCCCAAAATCTGGACTAATATGAGGCATACATATACATAAAAAGACACATATTTATTATTGTAATGTATAACATTTTAGATTGTATATAAAATTGCTATGTAGAACAGAACGCGTATACTCTCATTAAAGATAATATTTTGGTCTATCGTCAAATGAAAAAAATGGAATGGCTAATCGCAGTTAGTCGTTATAAAAAGTTACACATATTTTGAGGAAAGAAATTACTAAATCGCATAATGTTAATAAATTAAAATTGTTTCTTTTTTTAATTGATAATTATTTGAAATGTACAAATGAATGGTTATTATGAAAGATGTTTACATACATATGAGAAAGCTGTATACACAAATAAATATATATATATATATATTGAAGAACGTATTTTAAATACATATTTTAAATATATACACATACATGCAAATATACTGGATAAACAAAATTACTCCCACAGTATTATTTAGTGTGCAATTAATAATGTATTATAAATAAATATATTTTCAATATCAGCTGTAGTGCTCTGATTTAGGTATATACCGTAAAGCGATTAACATCGAGTTCGCACTCAGCCGACTATATATGTATTAATATTTGAATTCATATATCCTGATTTGGCTTGAGACTCTGACAATTATTTAGCTAATTTGTAATGATTATAAATATATGTACTTAAGTAATAGAACTCAAGCTTGAATGATTTTCGCAAAAAGCCTCCAAAACAGATACATAAACACATCCAAAACAGAGACACACATCCAAATAAATATACATATATGTATTCATGCAGAAATACAATAACTAAACATAGTAATGAGCGTAATACAAAAATAGCTTTATTTACACAAGTAAATTAATTATATTTACATACAACATATGTATAACATGTTAAAGAATTTATGAATTAAAAACAAAATGGTTTTAATGTTTGCTGGGTTTTTTTTCTTCTTAACTAATATATTCAATTGATATGATAATTTTTATATGTATACCTTGTATACCATGAAATTGTACTTGTAAATAATAAATAATTACAATGGCTATCCTAAGAGCGGACGTGCTATAAGGGCCACAGAGCACATCATTTATCAAGCTGGGTACCACAATAATTGCTTGCCTCAAATTTGCCTCTTACAAGTCTTAGAAGGTCTGCTTTCCGCTTTCCACTTTCCACTTTCCACTCTCGACTGTTTTGCTGGCAGCTGCGTTACAAACTTTTAATGGTTTAATAAGCATTGCTGTCCATCTGGCTTACTTTTTAATATCTTTGCACAGGGCATCTTCATTTTGCTTAGAAATGTGTAACATTTCTAAATTTGTAGCTATCGATTGTACTTTACAAGTAATCAGTATTTAAATGAATTGAAGGGAAACATGTGTGCTATTTAAGTGTATTCACATATTATTATCAAAAATGATATTAAATATTCGCCACATCGTAGATATGGCGATGTTAATTTCTCACAGTGTAGTGTGTGGAGATTGAGGTATGATATCTTATCATCCGCTGTAAAGCAATTGCCAGTTCATTGATAAGGCAGTTGACTTGTGTACGATAATATCTATTTATTTTAAAATGATAGCTAGTCTTAAAAAAAAAAATGGTCCGCTACGCAGTCATCCGTCATTATTACAAACATCAACAGAAAATGTGGCAACCCAACTTATTCCGCTTAAGTGTTTTATTTGCATTAATTTACGTCCTTCTTTACGGAGTTGGGATAGCTGAGGGCGCCGTAAGCGAAGTTTCTACAGATTCAAGCCCGACGACATTCTGGCAGCGCCTCAAAGAAAGCGTAATGGGCTTTCAGTGGCAGCAAGCAAATGCAGAATTTGAGAGTCCTGCGACTATTCAAAGGCGACGCGAAATGTGGCAGCGCATCAGCATGGCAACCGTTTTATAAGGGATACTTGTATACTTAATTAAACTAATTAGTTAGGTGCATTTTTATGTAGAGCAATAATAAATACAAATCTGCTGACTGCATTTATTTAGGTATTTTTAAAACACTTGACGTTCTTAGCCTGGTCACAATAGCCGGATTTCTGATCCCAATAGAGACCCCTCGGGCAGGAGGTCAGCACCGGCATGCCCGCAATACAAATGTAATACTTGCTGCAGTCATCGGGATGCGATAAATAGCTCTGCTGATCCGAGGGACACTTTAAAACACTAATGGCACTACTATGTGGTGCACTGGTCGGTGTTGGCGGAATCAAGCTAGTTGTCGGCAAGGCACTGCTGGTGTCCACAATATAGCAGACGGTCACTTGGCCGGGTGTGGTGCTTTGCGCTTTTTCCCCCTCCACATATTCCAAATTATTTTTGCTGTAGCACTCGGCGTTGCCACTTGGCTGACACTCGAAGCGCCTGTAGTTCCAAAGAGTGCCTCGGCCGCAGTGATGACGATGAAGATGACCGTAGGCGCAAATAAAGTACAGCTGACAATTGCTGGGATGTGGCAGGAAGTACGCACCAAAGTGACGGCAGTCTATGAGCTCCGGATCGTACTTATCCATGGGATTCACGGCCAGACCTGTTTCGACATCGATGGCAACAAAGTCCGGCTTCGGTTTGGTCATCCACCAATCGAAATCAGTATGTGGTTTGCTCCCAATGTCTGCGTTCAGGTATCCATTGAGCTTTGAAGTTGTGTCTGGGGAATTACTCTCGTTTGCAATGCATTGCGCCTTCTCAGGCACATCGCACATCAACTTAACCGCATCGAAATTGAGTCCCTGATTGCAGTAGAAGAGCTTTGGAACCGAACCGCAGGCAAAGTATGCACTGCAATCCAGCGGATTGGGCACCAGTTGTCCCTCCGTACGATCTTTACAAATCTGCAATCAAATCAGCACAGGTGAGAGGGGGAGGACATCTTCCCAAAAAACTGTAGTCTACTCACATGGCTCAGATTGATGATTTCTTTATGAATTGGGTCCTCAGCGGCATGGGCAACTCCGAGGCAGATGCCCACAACCAATGCAAAATGCATGCGAATTTCCATGCGATCTCCGTAATTAACTGTAGTTTGTTGCTATCAATTCCACACGTTGGGAAAAACACTTGACTATTTTTCCATGTGCGACATTTATATATGAACGACCCATCCCCACACCCAGCTCCCGCTGGGTGCAGCCAATCTTAAAAATTTTGCCTACACTAATTGAAACATGAAAACATATTATTTTTGGAGCACTTAAATGTGCGATAACAAGTAAGAATGCCCTAGTCCAGATAGCTCGACTACGAGATACTGTGAACCTGCTCTTAAATACAATTTAAATCGATTGAAATTGAAAAATGGTTTTAATATCAATATGAAAATGCTTGTTGAACTATTGGGTGTCTCTTATGCGACTCTGATGAACTTTTTTTTATAATATTTCAATGCATATTAATTATCAATTGGAATGATAATCCTTTAAAAGTTAAATTTTTATTGCAATCAAAAATCTATTTGTTTCGATATTGGCGAAATTAGGAGAGGTACGGACAAAATCAAACTTGGTCTGTGCGTGGTATAACAGATTGTGTATTCCAAACTTGAATACGTTTCTAGCTCTTGTAGTCTCTGACATTCGTTAGTTCTTACAGACGGACAGTCAAAACAGACATAGCTAGATCGCCTCGTCTGCTTTTATGGGATCAGAAATGCTTCCCACTACTTGTTACGTGGTTTGGCACAACTTAAATATACCCTTTTTAACCATTTTTAATGGGTTCTTGGTATAAAAATACAGATGAACAGCACATACATTTCCGAACAATGTGTCATGGTAAATAAAAAATTGTTAGCTGTGGCATACTTTCGGGTGAAATTTGTTAGTTTCAATTTGTTTTGTTTTGTCTTTAAAAATTAAACATGAACTTAAATTATGGCGGACTAGTTGTGAGTTTCTGTTTTCATAGTGTTGTTTTTTTTACTTTATGACTTCGCGGCTGACAATGAACTGTTAATTCACATAGTAAACTTGAGAAGTAGTTACCCAATTAAAGAAAATTTAAAATATGAGTTAAGCTTAAAATCTCAACAGTAGGACTATATCGGAAGTCAAATTTGTTGACTTCGTTATAATCAATAAATAACAATATATTTATATGTATGTATGTATGGATGCATGTATAATAATAAATACATTTTGTTGAATGATTATTAATCAATTAAATTCAGTACGTTGAATACATTACTGTTTTTGTACATATTGATGACAACGATATTTTTAAACAATTCGCAAATAGGGTTATCTAGAGAAGTGATCGGTATTCCTAATTTGTTACTTGTCAAATTGGCATTAAGTCACTTGATAAAAATATGAATATAATAGCGACATTCGCAGCTCTGCTTTAATGCTCCAAAATTTATATGCTGTCTTTCAGCTATACATTTGTATGTATGTACATATATATACAATGAGTTCATTTTTGACACGTTATATTTAATGAACAAGGTACAACCCATTCAGTTTGTCGTTGTCTTTGCGCGTGGAGTTCGTTCTTGTGTTCCTTTTCATTTTCATCAAAATGAGTGCGTACACCTCAGTATATATTCAGGATTAATTTTTGTTTCCAATGAATTTTTTAATGAAACTTTGAGAACCTATTAATATCCTAATTAAGTAAATTCACCTTTCATTTTTAATATTATAATTGCGTGTATGTGCCTTGCAGGTACTTCAAGCCATAGAGTATTGAACATACTTGTCGGCCTTAGCCTAATTATAGGATCATGCTTGGCTGATACGTTTGATCCGTTTGATCCGGATCTCATTTGTACACTTGTCGTTGATGGCACTAAAATGAATGATCCGCGTGCCTGCAACAGATGGATACAGTGCACCGATGGACAACCCATTAGTGGCACCTGCGACGATGGGCTCTTCTATGACAGGGAAAGCAAAGACTGTGTGCCATCGACTGAGATCAATTGTGTCTCGAGCGATCCGTGTGCTGAATTGAATACGAATGGCTTTGCACCCGATCCGTATTCCTGCAATGGTTACTACTACTGCAAGCAGGGTAAGGGCACAAAGGGCGAATGCAATACCGGAATGAACTATAATGCTGCCACTGAAGCATGCATACGTGACTTTCCCTGTAATGCCAAAATGAATCCGGATAGCGTATGTAACATTCTGCCTGATGGCGTTTACATCAAGGATCCCACAAGTTGCAACGGCTATCAATTTTGCTGGCTGGATAATGCCATTAATTACAATTGCCCCTACAACTTATATTTTAGTGCCGCGAATGGCGACTGCGATTCTCCACAGAACGTTGAATGCGCATTCACCGAGCCACCTCCACTAACTGCCGAGCCGGATGAGTGTTTAGAGACGGGTAGTTTTATCCCGGACAAAAGTAGCTGCAACGGCTACTACTATTGTTATGAGGGTGACGACGGTCAAATGCTACTCGACCATGGCGATTGCCCCGTTGGTCGATTCTTCTATGTCAACGATAATGGTATCGGTGTTTGCAAGCCCCGATCTCAGGTGCAGTGCGATTACGATCGTTGCGTTAATCTTGGCTATACTAACATCGAGCTGGCGAACGAGTCGAATGATGGATGTAAAGGCTACGTCTTATGTCAAAATGGGGTCACAATTGGCAAGGGCACCTGTCCAAACGGCGAGTACTTCAATGAGCTGACTCAGCTATGCACTACTCAAGTCATATCTTATACGGCCTGCGTCATATCAGCTCAGTCTACGACACGACACGAACAGGTATCGACGACGGATGATGATACCGCAACCACAACAGCACCGTAGGCCACATGCGGGAAATAGCCTTTACTTGTTAGGAATTGAAACTGTTGATAATTGGTTTTGTGAGCCTCACCCAATCAATTTCACAAATATATATTTATTTATTTCTATACCTATATTCGCTTTTGATAAATTTAGTTTAATCTGCAAAACACAAAATAGAAATTTTCACCAGCTAATGGAAATGTTTGTCACAACTTAAATATACCCTTTTTAACCATTTTTAATGGGTTCTTGGTATAAAAATACAGATGAACAGTACATACATTTCCGAACAATGTGTCATAGTAAACACAACATTTTTAACTGTGGCATACTTTTGGGTAAAATTTGGGAGGTACAATATGATTTATGGTTTAAAAATTAAACATGAACTTATACTATGGCGGACTAGTTGTGAGTTTCTGTTTTCGTGGTGTTTTTTTTTTACAATGACAATGAACTGTAAATTAAAGAAAATTGAAAATATGAACTAAATTTCAGTTATGTTGTGTGCGCTTTTATTTTATATCTCGATTTTTTTTTTAGTTTTTCGGTAAAATTAAATTTGGTGTTACAGGTTAAAGGCATTTTACTTCAAATGTATTTTCAATGCCAGACCTGAATTTAACATAATGGTAGTGAATGGAACACAATTAAAATCTCAACAGAAGGACTAATCAATGACAGTTACTGAGTTGTGCAACACTACTCGTCTATATCGGAAGTCAAATTTGTTGACTTCGTTATAATCAATAAATAACAATATATTTATATTTACTGTTTTTGCACATATTGATGACAACGATATTTTTAAACAATTCGCAAATAGGGTTATCTAGAGAAGTGATCGGTATTCCTAATTTGTTACTTGTCAAATTGGCATTAAGTCCCTTGATAAAAATATGAATATAATAGCAACATTCGCAGCTCTGCTTTAATACTCCAAAATTTATACGCCGTCTTTTCTTTCTTTCTTTGTATGTGTTCATTTTTGACACGTTATATTTAATGAACAAGGTACAACCCATTCAGTTAGTCGTTGTCTTTGCGCGTGGAGTTCGTTCTTGTGTTCCTTTTCATTTTCATCAAAATGAGTGCGTACACCTCAGTATTTATTCCGGATTAATTTTTGTTTCCATTCACCGAGCCACCTCCACTATCAGATGAGTGCTCAGAGGCGGGCAGTTTTATCCCGGACAAGAGTAGCTGCAACGGCTACTACTTGTGTTACGAGGGTGACGACGGTCAAATGCTACTCCATCATGGCGATTGCCCCGTTGGTGGCTTCTTCTATGTCAACGATAATGGTATCGGTGTTTGCAAGCCCCGATCTCAGGTGCAGTGCGATTACGATCGTTGCGTTAATCTTGGCTATACTAACATCGAGCTGGCGAACGAGTCGAATGATGGATGTAAAGGCTACGTCTTATGTCAAGATGGTGTCTCAATTTTCAAGGGCACCTGTCCAAACGGCGAGTACTTCAATGAGCTGACTCAGCGATGCACTACTCAAGTCATATCTTATACGGCCTGCGTCATGACACGAACATAAATAAGTGTGAGCCTCAACCAATCAATTTCACATATATGTAGTCTTTGCCCATTAGTCTTATATCTGTCTTATATCTGCACATACAATTGGTATCTTTAAATTTTAAATATACTTGTTCGTATATCATTCGCAGGTCGCTACCAAATCGAAAGAAAGAAAGTAAAACAGTTGCTTTTCCTAATTAGCGGATAACAAGCCCGTCAGTTTAACTTTAAGGTATATATTTAGCCGCCTACTCCCAAATAAAGTATCTTGTACTTGCTCAAATCGCAATCGGTGTTCCTTGAACACTGCTAATAGAAATTTTCACCAGCTAATGGAAATGTTGCTCAGATGAGCAATCCCAATTACATGATCGACTTCTTCCCCAACACAAATTATATGTACTTTGATACTACTATTTCACGAACTGTACGAACCCTGCAATTTATCAACAACAACAAAAACAAAAACATCAATAGAGACACTAACTACAACTAGTAAGTAGGTACAAGCACCTGCATACTATCAGCGCTCGTCAGTATTAATTAGCACGCATAAGGTATGTTTTGTATTGTACAATACTCTTATTGTATTCGTATTTCTTCAGTTCGGGGGAATGCCACATCGATATTTGACAGTCCGATAAGAGATTTTATTTTGCTGTTATTTTGTTGTTGTTCTATGTTTTTCAAATGGCCTTTGTTCTGGAACTATCTATAGGTATGCCTCTTTAATTGTTGTTGTAGATGGCATGATATAATTACAATTTTTATTAAAAATAACGAGCCATATCAATCTTTTGCTCATGCGGCTATTTCAGAAATAATGTTAGCCACAAACGTATCATTGTCGGCGATTATGATTCCGATACAACTATTAACATATATTAAATTAAATACAAACAAATCGCAATGCTTTCGACTTCCACCAATAGATTTTTTTTTTTTTTTTTTTTGGCTGTTTTAATTAGATACAATTAATTACAATTTTAAGACGTATTCGTACTGAATCTTTTAATAAGGGCTTCGTTTTTAAATTAATTTTCGCGTTTATGCCGCGCAAGCGATGTAGTTGTGATTGATGGGGGTGCATCCCTGGCTGCGTTCATCAAAGTAGTAGTCGGTGGGGCACTGACCGGAACCGACGGTAACACCTGCCGAGCAGCGAGCATAGGCCTGACAGTCACCAAGCACATTGACATAGGTCAGGGTGGAGCCAGCGCAACGATCCAGAGTGCAGCGCACATTGAGACGGTCTCGACAGGAGAGCTTCTCGTAGTCGAAATATGTTCCCATTGGGCAGACAAGATGCTGAGGGTTTGTATCGTGCTTGCCTTTGATGGGAGCGTTACAGATGTAATAGTGGCTGCAGGACTCGTCATCCGCAAAGTAACCCTGACGCGCTGTTGTTCCGTTGACCAAACAGAAAGTGTTCTCTGGCGGAGGCAATGCAGCCTTTCCATAGCAGGTGACATTGGCGACGGCCACACAGCGACCCAGGGCAACATCGTAGGCCATCTGGGCGGCGCATTCGCGTTCATGGAGCTCTCCATTTTGGCAGACATAGTACTTGTTGCAATGCTCCTCGTTGGCGAGCCGGGTGTTGTTCGGCAATGAGCGGCAGACTGGCGAGATTGTCTTCTTGGTGCTGCCGGGGCAATCATAGTTGGTGGAATAGACGCAAGAGTGGGATTTCGGATTGAAGATCAGCTCAGTGGGACAGTTGGCCTTGACCTCGCGATGACCCTTGCACAGAATGTAGCCCTGACAGGTGTTGCTTGTGGGATCGGCAAGGAAGGACCCATCCACTTGGTCGGCACATGCATTCACAATAGTATTGGTGTCACTCTTGAGATATGGGCAATCCACATTTGCTGCCATGGTGCAACGACCGCCCTCTTTGTTATAGTAGAGGCCAGTGGCACAAGTGCCCTCCTCCATGTTGTTGCCATTGGCCGGACAGCGGACCCAGTAGTTGCAGGTGTTTGGGCGCAGGAAACTCTGGTCTGATGGCAGCAATTCGCACATCTCTGTCATTGTTAGATGCTCAAAATCGTCCATTTTGCTACCAGTGCTAGCCAGGCCACCACTCGCAGCCAGGGTGAGCACAAGCAGAGGTAAAAGTCCGCTTGCTGCAATGGCAGGCGTTAGCATTAATACGAAATCAGTTATCAGCTATCAGTTACCTTGCTTCATGATTTTTGCCGTTGATGCGATGATTATCGATATCCTTAAAGTGTTACGATCGCTGTTGCTCCACATGCAGCTCCGCAACTTGACTGATGCGCTGGCACCGGGCGGAGCCTCTTTAAATATGCAAAGCGCTATTTTTCTCAAGAAAAAAAAAAGAAAAAAAAAAACAAACACAAAAAAAATAATAATAATTTTGGAAATGCACAGGGCCAAGGAAGATGTTGTAGCTGTATACATCGATTTCAATGTTGATTTCTCTGCCTGCCTTTGATATCTCAATCAATGTGAGCGATAATATTCGCATCTGATAGCGAGCAGCATGTAAATTACACGGCAATAACATGTCGCATTGGTGGTTCGGTGGTTCGGAGGCTCAATGGAGTCACATGCATATGTGTATACCATCAGCCCCCAACTAAATGCTGATAGGGCAATTGGACATGTCAAGGTATTGAGTTGAGTGAACGCATTGCTGAATTGAATGAAATTTTCGATACTATCGTCAAATCGAACTCATTGACTGATTTCGTTCCGGACGAAAGACGCTAGCAATTTATAAGCCACGAATTCCTCAGAATTTTTCAATATAGAGGAATTGGTTTTCATTTTATCATCATTATATATTAACTAAATTCGATCGCAGTTAAAAGTTTAGTTAGGTTCGCCCCAAATAACTCATTTGGAAAATATATCTGATAATATACAGCTATGTAATGGAGTCAATTAAAATATACATAATAGAGCCGAATGATAGAATAATCGATTTTATTGATATGCATTTTTAAGTTGCAATATTTGTATACGAGCATACATTTAGAACAATAGTTAAAAATTGCGAATACTTTCCATTTGTCATTATTTGTAAGAAGGTTATGTAGTGGATGTGGCTTTACAAATGGTGTACCATGGCTGGGTTGTCACACATCTCCCTGCTACTTCATCAAAATATTCATAGCCTGGTTGACAATAGGCAGTTTGACCAGTTGGACAATATGTATACTGTTTACACCCTGTGTATGATACGGCCGCATATGTCAAATTTGTATTTGCACAGCGATTATAAGTACAGCTTGTGGAAATGGGTGACACACATTGTGAACTTTCTGAGTCAAATTCCAATCCGAAAGGACATGTTCCCCAAACGGGTGAAGATGTTGTGCTCTCGCAATAAAAATATCCGTAACATGTTGCGGAATCGGGAGAGAATGTCGATATCCCTTCGCAGTTGGCCGGTCCCTTTGGTGGGAGATTACCGGGTGAGTCATTTCCGGGCGTATCTTCGCAGGGATCATTAGCCTGACAGCTTCCGAGAGCAGCATTATAATATTGATTATTTTTGCACTGTCCCCATACTCCATAGCCCTCGACGCACTGCAAATATTGGCCGCAATTGTCTGGATCACCGACGAAGATGTTGTTCTTCATGAAGCGACAGATATTATTCTGAGGACAGGACGGTCCCCACACGCATGTGTTATTGTTAGCGGCATACTGTTGACCAGTCGGACACGATTGCATTTGGTACTTGCCATTGCCAAAGCAATAAGCATATTGGGTGCAATCGGTCGGATCGGCGACAAAGCCAGGTGTCGTTAACACACTACATGTCTGAACCGCACTGGTTGTGCACGCTGTGTTGGTGTTGAATTTACACGTGCTAGATTGCGGATCATATACCTGTCCCTGGGCACAGTAGCCATAAGACACAAGCTGCTGGGACTGACAGTATCCCCAGCCGGTGCAATCGGACGGATTGCCAATGTATCCATTTTCTGACCACTGCTGGCACATATCTTCCATGGTGTATGCATTCGCCTGGATGGCCAGCAAAAGACAGACGGCTGCAAAGGCGGTCGCCTTGAAGTGAGAAGCTGCAAGGAATAAAAGCGTATGGGTAATTAAAAAATATCCTTGGTGCTATCCATATTAGCACATCACAGCATTTCCTACCTGCCATTGCGTTAGGGTTGTAAGTGACTTATTGGATAGACTTGTATGCTATAGAAGCATACCAACTCAGTACTAAACTTACCAATTCCATGTTATGCTTTATATAGAGAGTCAAGCGTGTGGCACCTAATTCCCTATCGGTGCGTTTAATTAAAACTGTTTTTACCTTCCCAGATAAGCTCACCCAGTACACCCGAAATTCATAGGAAATGTCATAATTAAAGTGCGATAATGCTCCGTCTCACCTAACATATTCTTAATTTTTTCACTTCGCTTTTAGTAATTATATGTAGATGTGTGACAAGTAACAACGGTTTGAGGCTTCCCTGACAGCCCTTTATATAGAAACGATGAAAGCAGCAGTTTAATCAACGATACATACGACCGACACAACGAACGATAATTAACTATTTATAGTCCACAGTGCGATTAATCATCCTTATTATCTACAAGTTCTTTTGGATTATCAATTGCCTCTTGTCGCTGTTTCTTAATGTACATAATTACTTTTAAATCAATGACAATTATTGATCGCTCACTGTCTTCAGCGTATTCAGCTATCTGCGTAATTATTCAAGTAATCGTATCGAGCTTGGCAAAAAATACACATATATAATTTATTAACACAGCCATTTCAGGCGACATCGCTCATTGAAAATTAGTTGCCAATTTTATTTAAAAATTATTAAGTGCGCTGCATTCCAACAATCCAACGAATTTTCGTACAGTTTTAGTTGATCTCTTCCGAATAGATGGCATAATGTGAATTAATTCCAGTTAAAGTTAAATCGACTTTTCATATACAATTTGTTGCCCCTTGTCATTGTAGATTGTCTCTCCCCATCGCAATGTCTTCCACTCTTTCCTTACATATACGCACGAGCCATTTTTCTAGGCATAACAAATGTAGATACATAAACAACTATAGCATACATTAACAATCATAAGAACTTACTTTGAGAATGTAAGTTTAAATTTGTATTGCATATTTTTGTGTCCACATGTTAGAATATTGCATACTTCATGAAAACTGACGAAATTGGTAGACTATTATTTTTGATTTCAAAGTTGGTCAATTTAAAGCTTTTCTTTTCACAATTCTTCAATTACTACAATGATTAGCAAACACTGCATTAGATATATTCCAAATTGAAACATATAAATTTAGGTGCATCATGAGCTTGAAAGATATATGAGAATGAGCTATATGCTTATAACTTGTCAATAATAGGATGAAGTTTAACATACATACAATAGCCTAACTTTGTCATACCCATATTTTGGACGATCTACTGGTACAGGGTGCGAAATATGAGTAAGCCATAAAACAAACTTTTTCGTTAGACTTAATTAATAACGTTATGTTTTGACAATCAGTTTATCATTTTGGCAGATTTATGAGCCAATGAAATATATAAATATGGAAGGTGAATGTACACCTGGTTTATTCTATAAACGTATTATTTTAACTTATATATTCAAGGCATCAGCTGCTATAGTTTGCATGCATTTTCAAATTTCGCGTTAATTGCTTAATAATAATAATGTGATACGCATATATGCGATGCAAGACTTGGCTCACTACGGACTTAATGTTTAGAAAAATAAGTAGCTGGTTCTTTTAATAGGCATAATATCTGCACATTTTTAGCACGACAAAGATTAGATTTGAGCCGCTTAGAACACATACCCTTAATTTGTTGCAAAATCTGTTATCAGCGTCATTAACACTCCACTCCAAGTATAAATTCTCTTCAAGCAACCGTCTCCATTTAGTCAAAAACAATCTGCTTGAAGAACCACAACAAAATCTAATATTTTACACTCGCAAGAGGTTAACAAAAGGAATTTCCCACTCTCTCGAAAATGCAAGGTAATCGAAATGAATGACAAATGTACAGTCGTAGATGTTTTAGCGAACAAAGAAATATTCATATGTGCTTATATATTAAGATGCTTGCATGTGAACGAAATTACAAGAAACACGTTTCCGGATTTATTGCAGTGACATTTCGATTTAGTATTGGAGTTATCCTTCTGGCATTATGGCAGCCCCAGCCTATGCAGGCATTGCACGATTTCACGGAAATGTGCAGCCTATTTAAAAATGGCACTCTTGTCCGCAAGCCGGCGTCTTGTGACGAGTACATTGAATGCAAAGGTGACATGGGCGTTCTACACACCTGTGACGACTCCTTTGTATTCGACACTAGCTCGAAGAAGTGTGTGAAGGCAACGGCCAGTAACACCAATAATTGTGCCAACCCATGCGAAGGAAAGGACGACATGTGGGTGGCGGATCCAACGGACTGCAACTACTACTTCTACTGCCGGAATGGGGAGCCCCTATCTGGCCATTGCGAGGAATCGCAGCACTTTAATGAAGCCACGCAGTCATGTGAATATAAGGATGACTCGCTTTGCGTGTACGTTGCCAATATATGCGAATTAGTGCCCGATAAAACAAAGTTTCGCCAGGAGGATGACTGTAACGAATACTATGAGTGCAAGAGTGGTAAGCATTCATTAAAGACCTGCGCGTCCACGAAATACTTTGACGTGGAGAGCGGCAGCTGTGTAGATAAGAGTAAAGTCGATTGCAATGCGCATTCGAAGAAGAATGTATGCTTGTCGAAAACGAAGCCACTCAAAGGATTCCAGCCGGATAAAGCCACATGCCGTGGCTACTTTTATTGCAATGACTTTGGAAGCGTTCATGACGTCTCGCCCTCATGGTACCAGTGTCAGGAGGGCTATTTTTTCGATGAAACAACCAAAAAATGTGACATTGCCTCAGAGGTGGTGTGCACATACAATCGTTGCGAAGGACGCGGTTCCATGCTCGTCACCAGCAGCAACAACAACTGCCACAACTACATTGTATGTGAGAATAACGTCCAGGTAGGAGAGTACACATGCCATTGGGATTATTTTTTCGATGAGTCAGTGCAAGCCTGCACTTCCAAGATTATTTACGACGGCTGCTGTGATGGACGTGATTGAAATAATAATTATGTAATGCAGGCAAATAAATGTAGGTAAAATAAATGTATGCCTACCAAATGTCTGATTTTATCTATGTGCATAATGTACCTATATATGATGTATAAGTATGTATGCATATGTATAAAAGTATTCCTGTTGATTATTTCATCTTCTTATTTTAAATATGTATGCATATTTATTTACATTACACCCGCAGCAATAAATCAGTTAAATCAATAATTTGGAGCAATGTTAATTTGAAAATGACTATTCGTTTTTCTTATGTATTGAGTCAATTACATTTCGCTGGCATCTAATCAAAAAATAGAATCACTTTTAATTTAAGCATAACTTTTAAGACAAATATTGTTTTGTGTTGAACTTCCTGCACGTGTTGGTAGATCACGCACTGTTCCTCCTGTTTAATCTATTAATTAAGTTTGACTGGCATCATTAAAGAAAAGAGTATTTCATTAAACAATATCTAACATTATCTAATATAGTGAATAAAGAGTTTGACTTTTGAATAAAATTTAATGTTATAAACCCTTCCATTAAAGAATATCGGTGTTATTCATACTTGGTGTTCACTGTCATTTGACTTTTGGCGCAAATGTTAAATTCTTTCGCTATTTTACTTTCTGTTAATGAACAGCCCAAGCAAATGTTAAGTTTCGTGTCGCTGTTATGCACACTGTTGATTACACCCAAATAGTTCTTCTTCTTTTCTGCTATCAATAGAAGTCGACGCCGTCGTCGTGAGTTTGTTTTTGCGATGCTTATGAAAAATATCATTTGAAACGATAATAATAAGCAATAATTAGTGCGCAAATATCAGACTGACACTAAATGCCGCCAAAGGAATACAAAATATTTAATACAACCCTTGCTAAGGTCGTTGAAAACTATTCGAGTTAAGTTTTAATTGTATATTGCCATAAAACGTATGTGTAAGTTACCAAATTGCATTTGCATTAAACTGATCGGTTAATGTGTGTTGATATAAGGTTTATTTACTTTGAATAATTCAGTAACCGCACCGAGATGAAGCCCACTCAGCCCGGTGGCAGCAGCAACAGTGCTACCAGTGCCGGTAAGACAGGCGAGCCCATCGAGTATGTCACCCTAATCAGCGATGACTCTGACGGAGAGCCTTCGCCCAAACGGAATACGTCTGGCGGTGGTGGCCATGCGAAGGCCAAGTTTGACGATGACTCCAATGACACACCTGCCACCAGCGACGAACGTCGAACTAGCCGGCGCAATAAACCCAAAGTTGATTACACGAATAAACCGAATGCCACTGTAGAGAATGTATCATTTGAAAAGAGCAGCTCCGGCTCTTCAGGTAGCAGTACTGGAATACTGGATAAACGTGGTCATGTGCACACCGAACAGCGTTCACGGAAGTCGGAGACAGGACTTCACCACACCGCAACAACTAGCGCACGCAACGCTCTGCCAAAGGACACTTCAAATGGAACCAATGGAGAGATACGCGACACGAGTACGCCCACAGTGCTCTCGGGACAAGAGGGCGCAGTCTTTCAGTCGCGTCTGCCCTTTAGCAAAATGACACCCAATGAGGAGGCCTGCTTTCCAGATATTAGTCGATCAGGCATACTGGGCCATCGAGTTTTCCTCAACATAAGGAACAGCATACTGCACATGTGGGTGGATAATCCCAAGGTGCAGTTGACTTTCGATAATGTGCTTAAACGGTTGCCGCCGCCGTTTGACAGCGATCCCAATCTTGTGAGACGTGTACACTCATTTTTGGAGCGGCACGGTTTCATAAACTTTGGCATATTCAAGCGGCTAAGTCCCATACCCGTTAAGAAGCTTGGCAAGGTTATTGTGATTGGTGCTGGTATCTCAGGGCTGGCCGTTGGACAACAATTGCAACAATTTGGCATGGATGTCATTGTGTTGGAAGCGAGAGATCGAGTGGGCGGGCGCATTGCCACCTTTCGCAAAAATAGCTATATAGCTGATTTGGGCGCCATGGTTGTGACGGGCGTCTATGGTAATCCGATGACCATTCTCAGCAAACAAATCGGAATGGATCTGGTACCCATTCAGCAGACATGTCCGCTTTACGGCCCCGATGGCAAACCGGTCCCCAAGGAGAAGGATGATGTTATTGAGCGTGAGTTTAATCGCCTACTTGAATCAGCTAGCTATCTTTCGCATCGCCTGGACTTTAACTATGCCGGAAATAATCCAGTGTCGTTGGGTGACGCCTTGGAGTGGATCATCAATATGCAGGATAAGGCCGTGCAAGAGAAACGTGCTGCACACATGCACGAGATAATTGCCGCTCAAATGAAAATCATTGAACATCGCAAACAGCTCAAGATCATTCTACAAAAGATCGCAAGTCTTAAGACTGAGCTGCAAGCTTTGGTCAAGCAACGCCAGCCAAAAAGCGCACAGAATGAAAACACCTATGCGTGTCAAGAATACACAATTCGCACCACTCAAATCAAGCTGGAGGATACTATCAGTGTTGAGGATGAGATGCGCACTCAGGGCCATAAACTGGAGATCCAGCTCCAAGAGCTTGAACAAAATGGACCGAGGTGAGTAGGAATCCAACTGATGAAGAATTAAACCAAAAATTCATAAAACATTTGATTTACGCAGCCAGGTATATTTGTCGTCACGTGATCGTTTAATACTTGACTGGCACTTTGCCAATCTGGAGTTTGCCAATGCCACACGTTTGAATAATTTATCGCTGAAGCACTGGGATCAGGATGATGATTTTGAGTTCATTGGCCATCATACGACAGTGCGTAATGGTTACTCCTGCGTGCCTGTTGCACTCACCGAGAACATTGACATACGTCTTAACAGCGCCGTCAAGGAGATTAAGTACACCACAAAAGGAGTAGAGATTGTTGCTGAAAATTTGAAGACTTCAAACTCACAGATGACGTACAAAGCCGATTTGGCTGTCTGCACGCTTACCTTGGGAGTACTAAAGGTGGCCGTTGCGCAGGATGAGTCCCAGCACGCGAACACCGTTAAATTTGATCCACCACTGCCGGATTGGAAACAACAGGCCATTCGTCGTTTGGGATTTGGCAATCTCAACAAGGTGGTACTCTGTTTCGATCGGATATTCTGGGATCCTAATGCGAATCTCTTTGGCCATGTTGGTAGCACCACTGCCAGTCGAGGTGAGTAGCACGTCTTGTGCGTCTGTGCATTCTAAACCCGCTTGATATTAAATTTCAAGGGGAAATGTTTCTGTTCTGGAGCATCAGCTCGTCACCTGTTCTGCTGGCCCTCGTCGCTGGCATGGCTGCCAACATTGTTGAGAGCGTGACGGATGACATCATTATCGGACGCTGTATGTCCGTTTTGAAGAACATTTTTGGCAACACATCCGTGCCGCAGCCCAAGGAAACAGTTGTCACTCGCTGGCGTAGTGATCAATGGGCTCGTGGCTCCTACAGCTATGTGTCAGTGGGCTCCTCTGGTAGCGACTATGACCTTCTGGCTGCACCGGTCATACCGCCCTCAAGCTTCGAACCACATTTCAGCAAGGAGGGTGAAGAACTGCCACGTCTCTTCTTTGCCGGTGAGCACACGATACGCAACTATCCTGCAACAGTGCATGGCGCATATTTGAGTGGACTACGCGAGGCAGGCCGCATTGCTGATTACTATTTGGGCTATCCGGAAGGCACACCGCCGGACATTGGATACTCAGTTAGTGAAGCGGCCAACTCAGTTTCGGTGGGCAATGTTGTTAAGCTACGCGACCTTTCGCCACGTCTAACGGATTCGCCCTTGCCGAAGAAGTTGGAGGAGAATTCAAACATTGCCGAGTCGACAGATTTGCAGTGAATGGTGTATGTATTTAGTTGCGTCAGCCACAACCGAAGAACCAATTTGGAAATATAGATATGTTTAATATACTTAATACACATGCACAAATTTTTTATTGGCATTTGTGAGTGCAATTTTATCGAAATATCAATAGAATTATTATGTGCATTGTATTCAATTCTTATTAGTTTTACTAAACATTTATTTATTCAAAACAGTTAAAATAAGTTGAAAGGTATTGAAATATTTGAAGAAGGGAGTGCAAAATAGATTCAGCACGCTCATTAAAATTAATTTCATTTGGGTTGTTGCTGAGTAAAGTCGTCAAAGTTGATAACAATTTGCCTTTGCGTCGGCACATGTTGCTGGTAAATGATGCCAACAGCGTTGAGCATGCGTTTAGAGGCTCGATAAGTGGGCTTGTCCGAATACTTGTCGGATATGTACAAAATGTTCCGAATGCCCGATTGAATAATTAATTTTGTGCACTCATTGCAGGGAAATAGGGTTGTGTAGAGGCGAGTGCCATCTAGACTGGCACCATTGCCATTGAGTATAGCGTTAGCTTCAGCGTGAACAACATACATATTTTTATTTTCTATAGAATCACTGTCGCTGTCCTTTGACCAGGGAAACACATCGTCGCTACAGTTCCTCGGAAAACCATTGTAGCCAATTGCTACAATACGCTTGTGCTTATCCACAATGCATGCGCCAACCTGAGTGGATGGGTCCTTGCTACGTTTTGATGAAAGTATGGCTGTGGCCATAAAGTAATCATCCCATTGCAAATAATCCTGTCTTTTTTGTATGTGCAGCGCATTTAAACTCGCCGTAATCTCTGTCGCTTCCTCGCTATCGTCTCTCAGGTCCTTGGACATGACACTGCAAATATTCATTAAAATAAAGGTTTGATGATTCGTATTTTGAGACTACCGATATTGGAAAAATAATCAGATTTGTGAATTTGTATGTATAAATGTATCTTTATTATTCATAATCGATATTATCATATAATTTTTCAGAGGCAAAATAATAGTCTGTAATTTATATTTAATATAATTGGAATTTATTGTAAATACTTTGTATAAGAATCTAAATATTCAATCAAAATGTTTGATTAGGTGCATTGATGCTGTGCTTTATATTTTAGGCGCTTTTCTGCAATTGTATGGGATTCTGCTTCAGATGCAGGTAAATCGATCGCATACGTGAAACGTCTTTGCCAGCTTTATTAACCTTAGGATTGAAATCGCAGAGCTTAGCAATGCGTTCCCACTCGGTTCCAGGCTCAATAGCACCGTTCTCTAGCGATGCTGCTTGGATTTCCGCATTGCGCGACGATAGTTTTGTTTTCGAGATGGATTCCTCAATCTGGCGCAACCAGTCGTCTAACTCCTTCTTGGACTGCTGGCGCAATTCCTCCTTTTTGCGCTCCTCTTCAACATCCTTTTCCTCAAGCCGCTGCTTTTGATCCTCACGCCATTTGCGGATTTTCTCGGGCTCTTCGCGCGACGGCGGTGGTCCTGAGATGCCGACTGGTTCGTTCGATTCGCTACCAATTACCTCGAAGCTGCCAGTTGATGATTCGAGACCACCTCCAACAGCAGCAGATAATTCGCTACCCAATTCGGCACCAGAGCCCACAAGACCGCCAAGCAGTCCATCGTCAGTTGCGGGAGCCACAGTTGCACCTGTCGCCGACCCTCCGGTTATTTCCGCTTCAAGATCTCCAAGAACTGATTGCTCGCGTGCCAAAAACTCTGCCGCTGGATCAACTTCCTCTTTGGTTGCAAAATCATCACCGAAATCCATTTTGTAGTCTAGAAAATTGTACACACAAACACGATTACAGTTAATGGGCGTATTTTCACTTACACGTATGAATGTGTAAATGTTAAAGTGCAACGACATATCTCAAAACGTTAAAGTACATACCTACCTTTGGTTGTGTCCAAACAATAATTTATTTATTTTGCTTTTAACCACCTATTTGCATACTAATATAATTAATGTTATAAGTATTTTTCTCCTTTTTTTTATAGATAATATATATATGAAAGATTAATGGTGAAGAGTAAAATGACTGTCACTAATAGAGATGGCAAGTTATCGATACTATCATTTCGTTTATTTGGATTCGGTATCGATTGACATATACATTGCAATTTTACAATCCATATTATCTGTTATGTATTTAAAGTATTTGATGCTTTGATTTGATTTATGTATTTATATATATTTGTGTGTACCGAGAATATATTACTTGAAACATATTCTAAGACTGGCTGCACTCATTTACTATTATGTAAACATTTATTTGGGCGTTCAAAATGTACTAAGCTTAAACGTTATTTAATAAAAATTGGCATCCATAAGTTGTATTTAAATATTAATTAATTAAATTATTTAGATTTAGAAAAAACAGTAAATTTGATGAATAGGAGTGCCTAATATGAGGAACTAGTTGTTGAATTGCTGCGGCGATCTAGTTGACCACTTGTGCATGGTGTTTTCACGTTTTACAACACTTAAAATATAGTATGCTGAAGAATACACATGTATGTGTGAACGTATTTATATGTATATATATTGCGCTTACACATATTTTTCTACATGCTTTTACATGGAGTTTTATATTAACAATTGTGGCAAACAGTTAGTTCAACTCACCAAACAGATAATCAATTACAGAACAATATAATACGAATTACTGAGAATGGTATTAACACACTCGCAAGCTAGCGTGAGCACACGAATATCAACGAACTGATTCACGTGTGCATTGTTCAAATGAACAATGTAGTTCATTTGTACTTAAGCGGCCATTTTGGAGATTGTTTCACCCACAAAAAAAGTTATGCAGCCCATTTGTAGTAGTTTACAAAATAAATTAACCTAAAATTGCAACGTATATAGACAAGTGTATATTTAAAGTTAATCAATAATGATGGTCCATCGAAGTGTGAATCCGACGAAGCAGTGAAACACGCAACTTGCTTGCAAGTGACTATCTCTCAGCGCACGCACACATGTATGTATGTACATGCATATATACTTTAAGCATACATACAAACATAAGTATGTACATGTTAAAAGTGTCCAAAGCAAATGCAAATATCAACTGATGTACAAACACATACAATATATATGTATGTATGTATGTGCTACAGCACTACAAAATATTGTTGAAAAACTTTTGAAAAACAAATAAATAAATAAAAATGTGCCTTTTAGTATCCAGCCAAAAACACGCCAAGTTGTGCGCGGCATAATTTATTTGTGTATGTATGTATGTATATGTGTAAATATCAACGTATCTGCGAAAAAAATGAAAAAAATGCACTTGTCTTAGGGCTGCATAAAAGCAAACCCGAAAACAACATGTTTATTGATATGTTTATTCATTTATTAATTAGTTGCGTTCAGTGAGCCAATGCACAGATACAATAAGATGAAATTGTATACATATATTAATGTACATACATATGTTCACCTCATGTACGGCATCGAGCAGACTTGAGCGTGTCCAAGCTTGCAGCCCTGGATTCCGCATTTTCTGTTTATTCAATGAATTAATCGTAAAAAACAAAAACCCTGCTTCCAGCTCAAGCACCCCACATGGATCCCAACTCCAGCCCCTGGTCTTACGCATACAATCGCATCGTACCCGGTTCCGCCGGCAGCACTGGCAGCACAGCGGAGGAATTTCAACATCCGCACCTAGCCACCATTACGGCAGCAAGTCTCGCCAGCTTCAATGCGGCTGCGGCGAGCGGTGGCAGTTTTGTGCCGCCATCCCCGATCGGCAGCTACAATCCAGTATTCCAGCAGATATATCATCATGCGGCCGCAGCCAGTGTGCAGCCAAAGCCGGCGCATTATGCCTCAACGACGGTCAACACACCGCACCGACAGCTGCAACAGCTGCAGCTGCCCACCACACTGGACAAGCAGCTGAGCAGTTTTCAAAATCAGGCTGCAGTGGCGGCCGTCTCGTCTGCAGCAGCGGCCGCCGCGGCTGTCAATAATGTTGCCTCCAACTACTATGGTGAGAACTCATCGTCCAGCGGTGCCTCGCCGTCGCCCACAACTGTCGCTCTTACCTCAACATCGCTGACGTGGAACACGCCGAACATGCTGTCCAACACGTTCCTTGCCATGCAACAGCAGCAGCAACAGGCCCAACAGCAGCAGCAGCAACAGCAGCAAGCCCAACAGCAACTGAATCTAGTGGCTGACAAAGTGGTAAGTATTAAAAGTTGTACACAATTTTTATTGCGATCCAATTCAACAGGGGCCGGGAGCTTCAATGGGGCTCAGTTTGGGTTCGGTATATATATATGTATATATATATTCTTTTATTTTTCTATTTTCTGACATTTTCAATATCTTTCCTAATATGGGCAGGCTCTCTGTTTCGCGTAGAACTAAAACTTACATAGAACTCTGTATCCTAGACAAATATATATGTATTTTATAGCAATTATCGACTGTTTCAGCTACGGTCCCAAATTGGTTCTTGATTAATATATAGACCCTCAATCCCGCGAGTTTATTTTACACAAACAGTCACTGCAGTTATAGTTTACCGATATGTGCTGGGCCCCTCTTTGATGCTCCCTCGATAAGTTGGACTTGCCTCTGTACTAATTTTGCTTAGAGTTAGACTATGCCTTATCCCTAACTGTCTTATGTATGTACGCATATATATATATACTATATGTAACAAAATCCGAACAAAACAATTTCCGTTTCCATCAAATTTATGTACAAAACAAAAATCAACCTGCCAACCCCTTCCACGGCTACAAACAACAATCATCAACAACGAATCTGTAGCAAATCAAACAAGAAAACACACAACAAACAAAAGCGCAAATCAAAGCGTACAACGAACTAATTTACTTGACCCAATTGCAACAACAACAACAACAGCAACAACAACAGCAGCAGCAACAACAGCAGCAGCAGCAGCAACAGCAGCAAGAACAATTGCAACATGACATTACTGAGGCAGAAACATACTACACAATCGATGGTCAAAAGTTGAAGCTCTCACGCAAGGATCCACAATCGATCCACATCGAACACCAAAATGTGAGTCCAGCGTATGCGGCACAGTATGCGAGTCCCGCATTGAGTTCAGCGGATGGATCACCGATCACGAATTTACACACAGTCGATGTGGGAGGATCGCCCCAGGTGATTGTCTATAAGACAGCAACGGCGCCGGTTGCAACGGCAGCAGCAGCAGCGGGGGGGTCACCAGTATCTCGACGCACCGTAATGAATGTGGCAGGCGCTGGTTCGTCTGCAGCGCCCAGAACGGTTGCATACTCATCTGTGATACAGAGCACACTGCAACAGCAGCACCTGCAACAACAACAACAGCAGCAGCAACAACAACAACATCAGCAGCAGCAACAGCACTGCTGGACAAAGCCAGTGGATGGGCAGGATGAGATAAAGAGTGTGTTGCAACTGCACGTCAAGCAAGAGCATCGGCAGCTGGACTACGCCAATGATGCGGCTGGCAGCGGGGCAGATAGCAGCGAGAATCTTGTGTTTAATCTGCCACCAGGTCTTGAGATAAAGCAAACGTTCTATCAACCGAGCGTCATTGACGTAGACTCATCCGCCTCAGTGGCGTTGCATCAGGCACAAGCACAGGCTCAGGCCCAGGCGCAGGCAGTGGCTGCGCAGGAGCATCTGTTGCAACAGCAGCAGGATGCTGCCTCGCCGCAGGGTCGACGGCAGCACGTTGTGGCTAATATGATATTGTCACCGGGGACATCGAGCAGCTTAGCGTCACAGATTCAAACAGTGCCAAAGGTTTGTATTTCATTTGTATGTATTTATTTTGGTATACTTTTTTCTCGTTTCGTTTACGTTTTGTTGGTTTTTAGTTTTGTTTTGCTTATGCTCTGTTTTTATCGTTTCGGTGTTTTTTTTTTTTTTTTTTTTACCGTTCAGTAATTTCTAACGGCTGTTATGCAAATCTGTAATCGATTTCACATGGCGAACTAGTTCATTGTCGAACCATATTTAGCCATTTGCTGTATGAATGACAATCTACTCATTTCAAATATGTCTACATATATGATAAAAAAAAAAAAGAAAACTTGTTAAGCTGTTTGGTTTTGGTTTGTTTGGTTGTGAATACTGTAATAAATGCATAACATTTGTGTATTATGTTAAGTGGCGGTACCAAGCACTTCTGTTATGTTTTCTATACCGCTTATTATTGCTTACAATTTGGTGGCGGTATTTTCTTTTTATTTGATTATATTAACAATTTGTTTCTACATATAAATACATACATACATACCTTTGTATGTTTTATTTAAACTGCTAAATTATAGCTAATTGTTCTGTTGGCTTTAAAAACCTTGTGGTCAATTTGAAACTGTGACGTGACGTTGATTGAGGAAGTTTTATGTGATATTTGTAATACGTTTTAAACAAAATCCCAGCTGCAAATTAAATTAAACATAATCCACACAAAAAGCAACAACTGTTAACTTTCGGCTAATCAACATAAACATATTATTGGTCCATTTGCAGGAGGATGTGAAGCCGCCACCTAAGCCAGCAAAGACGCCGCGAAAGCGACAGCCGAAGAAGACTCTAATTCCGAGTAGCGAATACAGTACCGTTCGCAGTCCACAGGAATCGCAGCACCATCAGTTGCAGCAGCAACAGCAGCACAATCAGCAGCAACAGCAGCAGCAGCAAAATACGTATTATGATTTTAATAGCAAATGGAACACGCCGCTCAAAACGGAGAACAATGCGGCATCTGTGTCGCCAGCGACAACCATTAACATACCCACATATCCGCAGCAGAGTCAGCAACACCAGCAGTCCTCCCAACAGCAGCAGCAGCAGCAGCAGCAACAACAACAGCAACATCTGCCGCAGCCGGCACATTTGCAATCATCGCAGGCGCAATCGCACCTTACACAGCTTGCCCAGTACTATCCAGCATTTCCACAGCCCATTGCATCCCAGTACACGGCGTGTATGCAGCAGCAGCAGCAACAGCAGCAGCAACAGCAGCAGCAGCAGCAGCAACAACAGGTCTACACGCAACAGCAGCAACAGCAGCAGCAGCAACAGCAACAACAGCAAGTGTATACACAGCAACTGCAGCTGCAACAACAGCAGCAGCAGCAGCAACAACAGCAGCAGCAACATCAGCAGGAAAAGGTGGAGACTGTGCAGCAGCAGGAGGAGGAAACGGCAGCTGCAACTGCTGCCAGCGAGGCGAGCAATAAAGTGATTGTGCCAAACATTGAAGAGGAACTGGACTTCTTGGCAGATGCAAGTAGTGTGCCCAAACAGGGCTATGCCAATTCGCTGACCTTAAATGGGCGCAACACAAACTCTTCGACAAACAACACAAACTTTGGCATACGCAATCCCAACAAAACGCCTTCACCGGAACCGCCTTCTTCCACAACGCACGATTGCAGCAATAATGGTATAACGGCAGTCAACGCAGCAACACTTGGCAACTCTGGTTCAACAGTGGCAGCGTACAGTCCTGCTGCACCTAAGCCAGTCAGTGTGGGCACCTCAATCGGCGAGAAGAAAACACAGTTTATGGACAGCTATCTGAAGTTTCTTCAAGGTGAACGAGATGATGATCCGCCGCCGGTTGTAAAGCCATCCCGCAAGCTGAACTATCCACGTGCCCCTTACAAGCGCAAGGGCAAAAGCGGTGCCGCTGATGAGGCGTCCACATCGCAGGCAACAGCGGCTGGTGCAGCCGTCGCGGATAACCAGTCGGTGCAGAGTCTGGCCGGACTCGTCGACGACGATGGGCGTCGCATTAAAATAATCTCGCAAACTCAAATACTGCCGAAAAAGAGGCCGCATGCACAAATGGTAGCGGCAGCTGCCGCTGCAGCAGCCGCTGAATCAACATCTACCTCTGTCATACAACATCCGTCGGCTGGCGATCAGACGACGTCATCGTTTCGGCCATACGCTCAGCAGCAACAGGATTCGCCTGGGCTGGGCGCGGCACAGCATTTTGTGCAGCAGCATTGCGCACAGTTGGGTGCAGGTGTTGGTGGAAGCGGGAGCGGCAGTCAAGGTATGTTACTTGACCAACAGCATAATTCCAATAAGCACTCTACTATCGCAACTACTTCTGCGCCATGCAACAACAATTACAACAACAACAACAACCACCATCACACACCCGCCGACGCGTCATCGGCAACGGCAGCCAACATCAACACAGCAGTTAGCGTGGCGACACCAGCCGCGCCCAATCCTCATCACTTTATTCCTCTGCTATGGCCATGGCAGCATTAGTCGCGACTCGCGATAATGACCGACCACATCGCATCCATGTGACTCGACAGACGAGACGACAGACAACGAACCTGCGACCAGGGACATGGACACTGTGCATATGTAAAAACCGAATACATAAACTTAACTTTTAAACAATTGTTATAATGCCGAAACGCAAGAGCAAAAAACAAAAAAACAAAAAAAAAAAAACAAAAAAAAAAACAAAAAAAGAAACAAAAAAAAAAGAAGTATAAGTATTTTTGAGATGGAATACCGAGAACAAATATTATTAATTTAAAAAAGAAAAAAAATCATCAAAAAATAAAAACTTGTATTTTTATTATTTATTTGTGAGCCAGCCGACAGGCGGGCAGCTGGTGGCAGTGTCGTCGATGGCTCCTCGGCTTTGGGTTTATGTTGTTGACGTAGTTGTTGTTACGCGCTGGCGTGATTGCCATTACGGTTGCTTGCTAACCACTTTTGTGCTCTTCACAGACCCATTAAACTTGCCGCCACGTCGGGAGCAATGCTCCCGCAAGGCCAAGGAGAGCAGCATGCACGCGTTGCTCTTGAATACGTCAACTATTGGGGAGGGCGGAGCGGTGGGTGAGCCGGAGGAGTTCACCGACTCGGACACGGATCCCGTCTGGACACCGCAGGAAGAAGATGTAAGTGTTACTTGCTTGCTCCCGTCCGTTCGTCGTTTGTAATCCACATTCCTTCCCCAAAAAAATTATCAAAACAGAGTGACGACGGCGGCAAGGGCTATGGCAAGCGCAAAGCAACCGCGCGCCGCATCAAGGGAACACCTCGTAAGAACACCTATTGCCAGCCGGAAACACATATGCAGCAACATCAGCAGTTGCAACAGCTGCATTCGTCACAGCAGCAGCAACAGCAGCAGCAGCAGCAACAACTGCATACCAACGATGTCTATAATCCGCAGCAGGATCTGCAAGGTGGGGCGGATGTTAGCTATGGCAGCGCATCGACAGGAACCCCAGCCACCGCTGAGAACTTTAAAGTAGGTCACTCTGACAGAAACCTTACTCATCAAAGCTCGGGAACTATTAATATCATATCATAGAGCTGACTTGCTATTCGAATCAAATGTGTAATTATATTATACATTATTTTTTGCATCCACAGACCGGAGACTTTATCGTTTTACGTTCGGATTTGGTTAACGATTGGCCCACCATTTGGCAGGTGGACTCCAAGTGTATATTGCAAAAGTATGAGCCATTTCGACAGAACGGCAAAACCTTTTACCGCAACATGTCCAAGGCGAGTTTTAAATAACTGTCCCTGTCCATTAAAATTGTAAATAAATAATTTTTTTTCGTGTCCTTACAGTACGCTTCATGGAATCTAGAAACGAAGAAACTCTACCTCAAGGCCCCTGTACGCATCCAGTTGCAATCTCACACTGAGACAATTGTTGAGTTTATGCGTTCTGAGTTGCTGGCCGACGATACCGAGCAGTTTATTGAGAAGATAATGGAGGATTTTCTATCATATCGGGACAACTTTGAGATTTATATACAAACGATGATATCACAGGCGCTTGATCCCAGCTTTTTCTCTGAGATAACACGCGAGAAAGGTATATATATTATATATCATTCAAAACTTATTTTATTTAACTTGCCCAATTTCAGATGACTATTTTTTGGGAAGTGTGCGCGTAATAGACAACATTATGGACAGCTGCAAGCGAAAACTGTTGGCCATCACTCCATGGACACGCAGCATTATTTCTTCCATTGAGACATGGCCAAAGTGTCACGTTTTCTCCGAGTGGGTGCAGAACAATTTAACCCAAAAGAACTGTGCTGGATGCCATCAGCCGGGCATTGCCGTTCGTTTCCTTTTGTTTGGGGAACCCTATAACCCAAGCACAATGCAGACCATTGCTGCAGATGCACGAATTGTTTACGAGAAGGTAATTACTGCTAGTACTGTTAGTTGACAAGGAACTGCGTGCCAAGTATTAAATTTTGGTTTGCTTTTAGGACATTGTGTTGTGTCGCATTTGTGCCGCTCGTGCGGATCTCTTCCACAAAATTGCACATGAGAAGTTCAATTTGTTCATCAACTGTTCGCAGCGTGTAACTGAGCAGCAGCAACAGTTTCCCGGCAAAACATCAACGGAAATCTTGAATGATCTGCTAGCCGAGCACAACTGGATAGATGAGGTTAGTGGCTGCTTGATAATGGTGTCTTCCAATTGATTTACTAATTTATTTTCGAATCTTATAGCTGTTCCGGAACATGCGTAACTGTTGGGCTGAGGTCGAGAGCTTGGAGCGACAGAAGCGTTTTCGTGAAGTAATGCAGTAATAATCAATATAAATCAGTAATAAGTCTTAGTGGACTTACTGCAGTGTCAGCTCCCAGCTCCAGCTGCTTGAAAATGTATTATTGTATACAACAGCGTTGCAATAAACTCAATGAGTTGTTAATTATAATGATAAAGCTAATTTTAAGTTGTGCAGGTTATTCGAGTTGCTTATCGCAGTCTTCTCTCTGCGATCTGCGATCCAATCATGCCATATGTTATGCATAACGCATAAGCATGCTATGTTAGAGTGTTTATGCAGCGACTGGTTGTAGCTACGTATAAAACATATGTAAATATAATTATAATATTAATATTCCTAAGTTTATAACGCAATTCTGTCAGTAACTGTCTCATAAGCATAAATCATTGCAAATCCAATGCAAACATTTTGATTGCATACGACTTAGTTTTTTAAGTTTTATCGTGTATTCATATAATGGCAAACAAATTGAATAGATTTTTATGTTAACGACACTTCCGAAATTGACGTTGAATCGTCATAGATAAGCGCACTACAAAATATTTGCAATATTTACCTTTAGTATAAGTGTACACAACAGACAGCGCAGAATTTATAGCTTGCGGCCTTTTAATTTTAATTCCCATGACCCGAGTTATCATTATATTTAGTTTTTGTTTTAGTTACATACAATAATATGTACATTTATTTTGCTCTCAAGTTCATTCAATAAATGAAATAAATTGCTTGTAAATAAAAACAATGAAATATATAATATTAGCGAAAAAACGTGTATAACTTTAAAACACAATTCACTTCATTGACTACATTGCGTGTTCGGTACATTATATACAAATATGTGAGTTACACTTATAATCATATGAATGAACCCTTTACGATACTCTTGACCCGGCAACCGGGTATTATAAAGTCTAACTCTCGAAACGGAAGCTTCTTCTTGGCCGGTTGTTTGTAATGTTTTTCCTTTTCTTTTCGTTCATGCCCAGTTTGCATGGGCGAAATGGCATGGTCAACTATAATAATAAGCGGCCAGGCATTTTGTGGCCTTGACAAATCGCTTGGTCTCGCCCTTATTTCGTATTTGTTTGCTGAATTTTACGTAAACTAAAGCCAGCCTTAACAGAACTTAATATTGATGACGTTGCAAAAGGCGTCGTTATATGTATATGGTTATGTGTATATTATTATGATTATTCGTATTCACTGCCTTCGTACGGATGATGACTCAGTTATACTCTATTCTTTTAGCTTTCTGTCTTACTATGCAAATCTATAAATACACATTTGTTTTGCGTTGAGTTAATTGGGAAACAATCCAGGTAAAGGTAAAGTCTCAAGTTCTTTCAACTTGACTCTCGACTAGAAGACCTTTATTACCTTGAGGGCTATGCAAAAAGTCTTTAATTAGTTATTACTTTGCACGACTTTGTATATGTATATTTGTTTTTCAAAAATCAAAATAATTGCTCTATGATGAATGTGGGGTAAGGTCGATTTATAAGGTTATTAAATGTTTTTTTTTTTATGTAAGGCTTATATTAAATTCGACAATAATTAGCATTCTGTTTGATAACATAAGAATATTAATGAATTTTATATTGATTACATTATCAGCGGCACTCTAAAGAAATATTTTCTTTTGCTTTAAAGCTGTTTAAAGGTTTCATTTCAGAAAAGCTATTGTTTTCACAACATTGCGCCTTTTGCGTCAAGTTCAACACTGGGCAAATCGGATTGGGTCCTTTGGGGGAGAGGCAAGCAGAGCCTTAATTGGAATAGACGCGGGCGTTGGGCTGTAAAGATGCCCAACGCTAACTCCACATTATCCAGCCAGCCAGCCAGCGGCATTATCAAATAAGGGGCTTATCAGTACTCAGTATGGGTGGCATTGTGTCTCCTAAGTCACCTTGAGCAGGGTGTGGCTTTTTAACCCCTAACATTGTCCTTGCACAGAGATTTTGAATAAATCAAAAGAATCAAAAAATTAGAATGAAAAGAAAAAAAGAAAATATACAAATAAAATTAATGAAAACATCAAATGTTACGCTAAGAGATGTCTGCGTGAAATAAGAGTGAAAGTGTGTGGAACGAACAGCGCAGCCTCCGAGCAGCCGAAAGGGGCAGCCACAAAAAACGCGGCAACGAAGTCGTCGTCAGCTGATTTTGGTAACGATTTTTGTTTTTCTTTCATTTTTCGCAATGAGTGCGCCGTCGCTGGCAAACATCGACTAAAAGGATTTCCGTGCTTTCAGCTCATTTTAGTTCGTATCGGTATTCCATACAAGACGGAACGGAACGCGAGCCACAAACGTTTCCACATGTAGTAGTAGTGCTAAAGTAAAAATTGCCATTTCTGTTGCACTCCCGAGCACACTCAGGCAGTCAGTCGTGCTATTTCAGAACCATAGCGTAGCATTAGCGCACTGTGTGCTATGTGTTTGTGCAATAATATTGCGGGCGCCGTATCAGTTTTATGTGTGGCTTCTTTTTAATGGCTTGCCGCTTTTATATTTCCCGACTGTTATTGTCTGTCGTTGATGTTTGTACATATTGGCACACACAACCACAAATCAACCATTTGCTGGCGCAACAAAATTCGTGTTAACGCATGTTTGTATTTATACCGTACATAAATACATACATATATGCATAAATACATATGCAACTTGATTTGTACTGCCGTGGCATCATACAGCTACAGAGATGAATCCACGCGGTTCATTAAACCGCAAGCTCTTCCTCTAAGGTATACCTACTACATCTAATTTACATATTATTTTATGCATACGAATATATTTAAATACACTTTGCTGTACTCTTAAGGAATCTGTTTAGTTGATATTGAAGCCCTCTCAACTATTTTCCTTTATTATTTAAAGAAAATTAAATTGAACACCACTTGGTAATCATTTGTGAAAATATTAGTCTAGACATATATACGTGTTTATAAATATAAATCGAAACAAAACAAATAAAAATGCTCAAGATGAAAGTGCTCAACTAGTAGATACGCTATATCCGCTGTTGATTGAACTGTACTGTACTTTTGTATGAATATTTAAATATGTATTTATATATATATATATATACAAATGAACATACATATGCTTAAAGCTGCGCATTACGATAGCCCTCTGCTCCTGCCTATAAAAAACTACATAATTGAATAAATTTTCGGCAATCGTTTGGGATACAGAAATGAAAGGTCGCCAAAGATGTCTGCAAATAATGAAAAGCCTCAAAGCCTCAAAGCCTTTTGAGTTTTAAGTTTTACTAGGCCAAAAATGTAAAAGAGGCTTAACCTACATAAGTACACATACCTATATTAAATAGGCTTAAGGCTACTCCTAACTTAAGCTAACTATACGTATACGTATTATGTCCAGACTCAAAGCTTTTAAAGTCTATTTATATTTTGCATTGTCGTTATTTTAACATGCCCTTTTTGCCACATTCTATTGGTACACAGTATAGGGCAAGAAACCGGCAATCTGCCCAAATGACTTTCTGCTATATTTTGCTTGGAAAAATAAACAAAAATTTCCCAATTCGAATAGGGGACATATTTCTGTGCGCATTCGTAAATAGAAAATGTGTGTTTTTATTGCCACCAGAATTTAGGCTATTGATTTATGTCGCTGTTGAGAACATTGATGTATATAATTGGGTCAGTTTTTAACACTTTCAAAAAGAAGCTACATCATTACTAATAGCGATTAATAGAGATTTTGGTGAAGAGGCCATTCCATTAGTCTTAGATACATACTTAATATTAGCTAATTATCTGACAGATGATGTCATTACCAAATCTGTATTTTGTTCCTGCAGTCTATATTCGAGTCATCCAGGGAATCAAAAGAGGGAAAATTACCCAAACAAATTGGGTAATTGAAATAAATTGTGTGGTAACTTTCATTTCCTGCCTAAGAGCAAAGTTTCTCATTTAATTAGAACAAATGTTAGAGATTGTAGGCTAATTTGATATTACATGAACAATTACCGTACAACAATATTCTTAGATTTGTATTTGAGCGTACTTCATTTGAATTATGTGCGAAATTATGTGATAAAGCAAACCTTGGCACTTATAAAATAATATCCGAATTTTATCAACGATGAGGACATGAAAAGAGCATATAAATTTAGCTTAAGGGGCTTTCAAGAGAGCAGTGTTTGCCATTAAATTCATATAAACGGCAAAGCTAAAATATTTCACTGTATTCATAGCTTTGGCTATAAACAGCATCCAATTTGGTTTTTATTTCTTTGCACGTGTTTCCATTCAAAAGTAAAATGCGAATTGCAAATCGATAGCGCTCTTGTTCCATTTTATTGGGAGACATAAAAGTCCGATGAGAAACAACAGACAGTCAATTACAAACTTGGATTATAAATCAGTATGAAATTTGACAAGGATGGAGATGATGGCCTTAAGGTGAAACGATGTAATCACACCTTCTCGCTGCCAGCAGCGACACCTGAAGGGCAGGTGGGCTACTTGTCGATCGACCCTCGTATTAAGTCTTAAGCGCGCACACAAAACACTTTTAAAAAAAAATAATCTTATTTACAAATTGAAAATTAATTTAGAGACATTTTCACTTTGTACAAATTGAATTTTGATAAAAGTTTCGTAGCCACTTCCCGCATGCCACGTTCCGCACACCTCATGCCACATGCCAATTTTGACGCCATTTTCGACACGATTTATGCGTGTGTTGTGGTGCTCGATTTTACCATTGGCCCAAGGCGAGCGCCAAGAAGCCAATAAGCCACGCTGCGGGTTCCTTCATTTTACACACTTTGTTGCGAGATACTTACTACCTTCTCAAGGTTGAAACAACATTGCTTTAATCAACTTTAAGATGCTACACTGGCATATACTACTTAGTTGTATATACACTTACGTCAACAAACGCAAACAAAGTGGTTAAATGGGGCAACATAAAGTGCACTCTATAAGGTCTACACTTATACATATACTCTCAGAAATAATAATAATGGCTTACTGTGTGTAAATGGGAATTATAAGTCATGTGCTTAAATCAAATACACTTATTTTAGATTATATTATTTAGTCCCAAAAAACTGATAAACATAGTCATATAAGAGTTAAGTGAAGTAATTTTTGTGGAACGGTCATTTTGGACTCGAAAAACGCTTTGAAATCTAGTTATTCATATTCCTAGTTATTTTCTCAATGTGTACGCTCAAATTAATTTAAATTGTTTCCATTTCTCCGAATTTAAATTGCACACCTTTTGGTTTTAAACAATGTTTTTGAGTCAGCGTGTTTATGTTAGTATCCTTATGGCCAAATTACTAGCACGCATGACCAAGGACAAGCAGCAGCCATGTTCTGACCTCAAAAGGATGACAAAGGATGCGCGCCCGGGGCATTTGAAAATGGTTTGTCATGAGTTGATATTAATTAACACTGACACCTAATAAACTACACAAATAATCATAGATAGGTGAGAGGTGCTGGTCGCCTCAGGGATTTTTAGCAAATTAAGGTTCTTTTCCCTTTATTTTTATTTTTATTTTTTGACTCTCTGTCAACGTTGAAGCATTATTCAGTCATCCGTACAGTAAGCTGATGTGTGGTTATGTGTTTATAAGGGAAATTCATTTGGTATAGTGTACAGTGGTCGTGTTTAATTTTAAACTCGTGCATGGCCAACCAAAAAACATTTAGAATTGGAGCATTCGTACACTGAGAAAGAAGTAAAATTGTCAAATAACTTAAGATAATATACATACATATATCTTATTTAAATGCTTGTTATGACTAATCTAGATTTATTATTATTATTTTTCAGTTAATCGCAAGACTAAATAATATTAGTAACATGATAATGAAAGTGGATTGCACTAAAAGCAAAGGACACAGAAGACAGTTTCAACACTGTACATAAACAGCCCCCACACACACCTGGTAGACAAACATAGACACACACACACACATCCACCGTGTGGCACTGGGTGAGGGACGAAGGACAAAGCATTTTATGACCAAAGATGGGCGAATCATATTACCGTGTGGGGCATACTAGTGTATATAGTACATGGTACTAAAACTAACCTCAAGGCAAACAAGTCTCATGCATGTGGCATGACTGGAAGACCGTATCTATTTAGCGAGTTGTGTGTGGAGCAGCAATTAAGACAGACCGTGCCGGAGACCAATGACAATAGGATAGGTGCGCCTCGTCGACCTGTTAGTGTGTCCTAGTACAAAAGCCGTGGTGTTTCAGGTTACACAACACGACAAGACAACAAGAGAGCAACACGGCAATACGGCAATACGGCAATTCGGCAGCCCAACGCCAAGGTCCGAGGTAAACGCCTGTCCGAGCACAGCCACATCCAAGTGATAGTGCCATTGCCAACATGTTGCGCAGTTGTGTGTGCATGCAAGGTGCAGGTGGCGGCAAGCGACGGAGCTCCTCGGTGGAAGACGCCTCGTCGTGTCGCTCGTCGGAAATAGAGCGTGTCGGTGCCAGCATGCAGACGACCACACTGGGTTCCAATGGCCAGCCACAAACGCTGGCTCCCCAAACAACTGCGCGTGCATCCAGTCTGCTGCAATTGTTTCAAAGAAAAGGTTGGTGCAAGCACTTCCGCAAACCCCTTCGAGGCATGAGTGCAACGAGAGCTGAGAAAAGTAAGTATCCAATTAAAATGATTATTATTATTATTATTACAATTCGTATGTGCCAAGGGGTTACTTTAAGCTACTACTGACAAAGATATTTGCAACATGCAAACACTTAAATCCGAATCCTCCTTCTTCAATTTCCTTGATGACCTGTAATTATTGCGAGCGCTCCATGTTGCTATCATTAATATACTTATTAAAATATTTGTAATCTTTTTGTTGTGCTAGTTTAAGATTGTGGCAGCTTATGACAACTTTCAAAATAGTCTAGTAGCACATAAACTTTGGTAAACGATAAAATATCTGTGAGAATAAGCTAAATCTTGAGTCGATTTCAGCAACAGTCTGATTCAACAGTCCCCAATAATCCTATAGAAGGGTATACAAATTTCGGTTGTAATTCGTTTCTATCGATTTGAGAATGTAGAGAATGGAGGAATCAAAATATTGAAACTAACTTGATCTGGTCATGGTATAAAAGAGCCAATATTCGCCCAAGAGGGACCAAGTGGACTACTTATTTCACCACTCAACAAAAAAATAAAGAATAAACGAAAAAATACTAAAGGTTACCAGCAAACCCCAGCCCCAGTCTCAGACCAGGGCCCACCAGCGCCAGCCCCATCCCATTTCAACCTTATTTCCAAGTTCGGTCAACAACGTGGTCGTCGCTTTTTAGTCCAGTGGTTGCTTTCGTTCTGTGTATTGTGTTACAATTTGTGCTACAAACGATTTTAGGAGACGACGACAGCCAATAACCCCTCTCCCAACCCATGCCACTTTGACCAGAAACGAGGGGGGACAAATCGACTGGACTGGCTTGTACTCCATACGTATACGTATGCCCATGCATATACATATACATATAAACATATATATATGTATATAGGCAAATACAGACAGTGGAGGGTTCAAATAGAGAACCACAAGAAAACCACTCGATAAGTTGCACGTTCAAGTCGCAGTCTTGTGTTGGGTTTCGCGTGTAGTGCAACAATGAATATAGCTTTCCTAATTCCCTAATAATTGATTTTACAACGCGCAGAGTTAGACATATGGCATAAAACTCTTTGAAATTATATTTAAAGTGTAAATGTAGTGTGCCAGCTGCAAATTTCATTGGTCAATATTCGTGTAAAGGACTCGTTAGCTGACTAATTGTATGGCTTGCATTCGATTGAAAGCAGCACATATTTAAGTACTATACAAAAATCTTTATTGAAATTTAAAACGCACAAATTGAGTGCAAACTAAAATTTCAAGTGCTATTAAATTTGTGCTAATTTCACTATTTGAGTTGTTAATTACTCCCTTGCATAATGGATGACAACGGCAAGTAATAATGTAATTGTAATTATGTGACAGGCAACAGAAGCTTCTCCGACCTATTAAACTATACTTATGTGTGTATATATATATATATATACACACATACATATATATGTATGGCCTCGATGTGCATCAGCCGTCTAAACGATAAAGTAATCAGTCAATCAGTTCATCTGCATTTCCTTTCTCCTTCACCTGCCAGTGTGTGTGTGTGTAAAGACTGTCGCAGGCAGCAGAGAGAAGGGCAGGAGAAATATGTTTGTGTGTATGTATGTTTGTGTTTGCCTGTTTATTAAAGTTAAGTTATTAGGATAGCACAGGACATCCCTTCTAACAAGCACTTTGAACTGGAGAAGTTTTGTTTTAAGTGACAATTTAAAAGTTTCTCTTTTGCCTCTCGATTTGATTGAGAACAGATATGTGTTTCGGACTTCTGACCTTTTGGGTATTGAGAACTGTCAATTCTATAACTTTTTTAAAATGGTGGGTTATTTCATATTGACTGTTGGGTTTATGTGCCGTTTACAGTAAATCAGAAAAGATAAGTCTATCAGGATAGGTAATTTATGTTTGCCTGACCTTTTCTGTTTATAACAGAGTAGATGAAAATCATTTCTTATTTTGTAATTAATCGCTTGCAGATATGTACATTGTAAACTTTCATAATCTCATTTAATTGATTTTAGCAATCAGAGCGGCAATATTTATTCAAAAATGGTATCGACGACATCAAGCACGACAGGAAATGCGGAAACGCTGTAATTGGCAAATATTTCAAAATGTGGAGTATGCCAGTGAACAGGACCAGGCTGAGGTAAGACATAAATTCTTACTTAATGCGGTGAGCATAGGCACAAAAGCGCACCCAAAATAGAATTTGTTGTGCATTTGTGAAGATTCAAAAGTCGATAAGTCTAAAATGAAATGAGCCAAACATAGACCCTATGTATTCAAATATATATACGCAAATTACCATATATTTGGGTGTATAGGTTTAGGAGACGTTCTCTTATATGTCTGCTAATTTTCTTCTTTTTTTTTCAATTTCAATTATTTCTATTTGCAGCTATACAAATTCTTTAATGACCTTATTAAACATATGCCGCAGGCTGTTGAGGCTGGGAACAAGTGTCAAACATCACAACAAAGTAAGTTTGCATAAATGCATACCCTGTATTATAGAGCTACAGAGTTAATTGACAGAACGACAATATTGCTTGCCCTATAAAGTATACTATATATATTTATGTTTTGCATAGTTAATCCAATCAACAACGAAGTAAGATTCGTGTCATTTAACATTTTTTATATATTTATATAGGTTCTGCTGTGGATAAAAATTCACTTTTGATTGAAGAAACTGGCGATTTTGCGCGCTTACAAATTGAAGTACCCATTCAGAAAAGTGACATTGACGCCCTGATTGATGTATTCCGTAAAAAGAGGGTATGTCGCCAAACATTTATTTATGTTTATTAAATATATATAAATATATATATATATTTAATAAACTTAAAGAAATAATTGTTTATAAGTTTATGATATATTGGTCTCTTGTAGGGAAGCCGCTTACATCCAAAATATGTGGCTCTGATATTGCGCGAAGCAGCCAAATCTCTGAAACAGATGCCAAATCTATGGCCAGTATCCACAGCTGTATCCCAGCAAGTGACTATATGTGGAGATCTGCATGGCAAACTGGACGATTTGCTTGTTGTGCTCTACAAGGTAAAGTTGTAATATCTTTAATTTAAAACAAATATGACCTATTTGTGCATTTAGAATGGACTACCATCCGCCAGTAATCCATATGTCTTCAATGGTGACTTCGTGGACAGAGGAAAGAGGGGTTTGGAGGTGTTTTTGCTGCTATTGTCCCTGTATTTGGCATTTCCAAATTCTGTGTTCTTGAATCGCGGCAATCACGAGGATAGCGTCATGAATGCCCGATACGGCTTTATTCGTGAGGTAGAGGGAAAATACCCAGTAAGTAAAATCATCATGCCTTCATTTTTTACTCTGCATTCTATGTGATGTTCATTATCTTTTCCAGCGCAATCACAAGCGTTTGCTAATGCTAATTGATGAGGTTTATCGCTGGCTTCCATTGGGCTCCATTTTAAATAACCGAGTGCTAATTGTGCATGGTGGTTTCTCGGATAATACGAACCTAGACCTAATTAAAAGCATTGACAGGGGAAAGGTAACATTAAAAGCATTTCGCTTGGCGAACTCTTAGAAATGCATGATAATTCTTTTTTGCTTTTTTTTTATTGTAGTACGTATCCATACTGCGGCCACCTCTTACTGATGGCGAGGCTCTGGACAAGGGAGAGTGGCAACAGGTATGATATATAAGAATACAGCAATCATTGCTAACCTGAACATACTTATTCACAGATTTGTCCAATTTACAGATCTTTGATATCATGTGGAGCGATCCGCAGGCTACGCAAGGCTGTAAGCCAAACCAGCTGCGAGGCGCTGGTGTTTGGTTTGGTCCTGATATAACCGAATTATTCTTGAAACGTCATCGATTAAGTTACGTAATACGTTCGCACGAATGCAAGCCGAATGGACACGAGTTTATGCATGATAATAAGGTGAGTCAATCTTTCATTTTAAATTCATTAGGCAGCATAATATTTATAGCTATTCAATCTTCCAGGTTATCACCATATTCTCTGCCTCGAATTACTATGCCATGGGTTCGAATAAAGGCGCCTATATGCGTTTAAATAATCAGCTTGTGCCGCACTTTGTCCAATACATCTCGGCTGCCTCGCAGACCAAGGAGCTCTCGTTCAAGCAGCGCATGGGAATTGTGGAGTGTGCAGCACTCAAGGAACTTGCTGTGCGGATGCGTGAGCATCGGGATGAGCTGGAGGCGGAGTTCAAGAAATGCGATCCTGACAACACCGGCTGCATAACCAGCTCAAAGTGGTGTTTCGTCATGGAGAATGTGACCAAGTTGGGTCTGCCCTGGCGATTGCTACGTGACAAACTGGCACCGGGCACCGATAGCCAGAATGTGAACTATGGCAGAACATTGGATCTCCTGGACACAGACGTAATTGTGAGTAACTCCTTAAGAAGGTTTTGATGAATGGAAACTTTACGATCACATTGTTGTAGATGGAAGCTGAGGCAGATGGAACGTCAGTTATGGACGCGTTGTATGCCAATAAAGCTAGCTTGGAAACAATATTCAATATTATCGATGCCGATCACTCAGGTATTGTTTTAAGGGGTGCCATTTCAATTGTAATCTATCTATCGGTTTTTTCAACAGGAGAGATAACCCTAGATGAATTCGAGAAGGCAATTGACCTGCTGGTCACTCACATGCCGAGTGTTTATTCAAAGGATGAAATGTTGGAGAAATGCCGTATGATGGATCTCAATGGGGATGGCAAGGTGGATCTGAATGAGTTCTTAGAGGCGTTTAGGTTAAGTGACTTGCATAGAAAGGAACAACAAGAGGAGTATTTACGTAAGCGTTCCACAACCAAAGCAACAATGTATCAGAGACCCTCAGATTCCGTGCAAAGGTTGGCGAATACCATATCGAAGAATACTATGGTTATTGAGGGCGATATAGATCCGACGGACTGTGAGTCCAAAATTGTTGGACAAAAGTCATAATTATTACCATTTAAATTAGTACAATACATATGCAATTATTTTTCAAAATGATAAGCTGTCAGACCTAACATAATGACATTAAAATACTAGTAGAGTTAAGATGTTCCAATTTGCTTCAGGGTTATGCCCGATTTATGATTTATGCAGTTCTTATCCAATTTAAGGCTTGTTTACATTATGTTGCAATATCGATACACTGGAAAATACCGGGAATATGTATTTGGAATGAATTAATTAATGCACCCATCTCCGTCTCTTACATTCTCTGCACAAATGTACACCGTCTATGAATTCTTTAAATGTATGTAGTACATCATATGTACATACATATGTAAACATATCTCAGACCAATGGGCATATAAGAAAGGGTAAATCGAAGGGTGTTGTGGGTGATTAACTGACATGAGCATATAAATACTAATTTATCTATATGATTATGGTATCTTAAGTCTTAAATACTAATCTATCAGGGCAAGCCAGATAGTGGATCGGAGCATTCCCCGGCAATTTCTTTGAACATTGCATTAAATTATAATTAGTAATAATAATGGAATAGTGCAATAGCATCTTATCGTTAACTTGTCGATTATAATAGTCGCTTATAATTAAAACACACTCTATTTTTTTAGCTACCCAAAGTACAAAAAATAAATAGAAAGAATCTCATACAACATTTTATAAAAAGCAGCAAGCAGAAATTGAATGCATATTTAACAAGTGGATTTGTAGCAAGCCAAATGTTGTAATTGAAATTTACGTTTTATTACAAAACTATATCGAACTAAATATTGTCTACATATATAGTTCAAGCGATGGGATCAAAATCTAATATTAAAATTGTTTTGAAAAGCTTACGTATTACAATAGCAATTCAATTGTTATACAAACATATATATATACATTTGCTATACGCTTAGTTGAGCAATGTTATTAATATGCAAGAAAATATATATTAATGTTAAATGCAAAATACATACATATACATGCATATATATATTTTGATAAGTCAGGTCTTTCTACATTAGCAAATTAACATAAGCCAATACATATATATATATATAATTTACATACAATATATAATTATATTAATCTGCACTCAAATGGAAACACTCGATCTCTGAATTTCAAGTCACAGCGTTCAGCACATGAGGAATTCATTTTGTAACCACAACAATTGTAGTTGTTATCTATAAATTAATCAAACATAACGATCTGGTCCAAATAAAAATAAATAAGCTTCTCTCTATAAGAAAGTAAATTTCTTCAAATATCAACAGCTATTCCAGCTTTGAAATAAATATTCTCAATTATTTTCCGTCAAAATAACTGACTGAAAATCAAGTATCATATCAACCACCTAAGCATGATAACATTCATTTTTATAGCTAACAGCTCTTGCTCGTTAGTGCTAACATAATATTTGGCCAAGTGAGCACAGCTGGAAACGCATTTAACTTAACAGAATCATGTTGCCTCAAATTTGCGTCGCGGGATAGGCTGCTTAATGGTGTATAATTGTCAGAGTGACCATACCACAGTAAGTACTTGCAAGCATCTCGTTTCAAAAAAACAGAAGTCTTGATGATTATTGCTTAATTAATAAAATACATAAAAAAATGTATAGTATAAAACTAGTTATATAATAACAATTAGATTTACCCGTCTGAATAATGTTTGATATTGGGCGTTTGGCATAAGTGCTTTAAAGCAGGAAGACACAAAGCAAAATGTCCCAAAATGGGCGAATCAATTAAAAAAATAACGGTGAAATCGATGAAAAAAATAACGGTTGGCGCCCATGTCTACATCGCCCAGCAACGTACAAGGCCACAAGTCACATGGATATGGAGTTCAAGTTTATATCTCGAAATCCACAAGTTTGCGAGAAATGAGGATAAGGACGAGACACTTGTTGAACTGAAAATGCAACAAGTTTGATGCCTGGCAACGGCTTGTAAACAATAAATTGAGCTCAAGTTCAGCTGTTGCATTGGCAACGTTCAATTCGATGGAATGTTTAATCGATGCTCTCTCGAAGGATAAAAACAGACTATAAGCAAGAAGCGCACATCGAACAGGAAAACCTAAGTTCAAGAATATATTTTAAAAATTCAGTAATGTCACGTTATAAAAACTAAAAAAAAAGAACGGTACGAGTGGAAAGAGTTTCAGTGAATTACCATCAGCTGATCAGGACTCGGCAGAATGGGAAATACGGAGAGCAATGTGACCAGTGGCGTCAAGAAACAGGCGGGCGTCTCCACCCAGGCCCTCTATAAGTTTGTCAATCTCAAGGGCGGTGGCCTGCTGGTGGACATGATGAAGCGCGCCTGTCAAACCAAACAGTTTGCCGAAATCGATCATGCCATCAAAACGAAAGTGGAACCCTTTTTATATAACAAGGGCGCTGGCCGTTATTTTCCCATATCGAAGCTGGTGCTGCTGCGGAATCGGGACAGACCGAGAACCAGGCAATTGCCTGAGATACGCGCTCTCGAAAATCCCGACGATGACTTCAATATACATGACTATTGCCCCGAAGTGTCCGAGGCAGAATACATATCGAATCCAAGTGCCTATCGATTTGTGTGCTGGGACCTGAACGTAAGTTCAATACAAATCACCTTGCCTAATGCAAATTATATGAAATCACATATTTTGCAGATGCGCGGCGCAGTGGGTGAAACGATTCTACATCTTTGCCTGCTCAATGCGTCCTCACTGCATGCGGATCTAGCCAAGCGTCTTTTGAAGTTCTATCCAAAGCTCATCTTGGACATCTATATGAGTGATGAGTACTATGGCGAGAGTGTCCTTCACATTGCCATTGTCAACGAGGATCCGGCTATGGTCAAATATTTGCTGGATGCCAATGCCGATGTGCAGGAACGGTCTGTAGTAGTAGTTGCAGTATCTACTATTTTGTATAGTTAATTTTAGAAATGATCTTTTCGCAGTTGTTGCGGCGCTTTTATGTCTGCGGAGGATACAAAGGCATCCCGAACGGATTCGCCGGATCACGAGTACGTGGCTCTCGCGCCGATGACCAACTATGATGGCTATGTCTATTGGGGCGAGTATCCTTTAAGTTTCGCCGCCTGTCTGTCACAGGTAACCAAAAAAACCATTCATACTAAAATCACTATTGATATCATTGTTATCCTTAACCCGTGAAGGAAGAATGCTTTCGCTTGGTGCTGGCACGCGGGGCAGATCCGAATTTTCAGGATACTAATGGGAATACGGTGCTGCATATGCTCGTTATTTACGAGAAAATGGAAATGTTTGATGTGGGCTATGAGGTTGGCACCAATATACACATTCGCAACGTACAAAATCTGACGGCATTGACGCTGGCAGCCAAGCTGGGACGTGTCGAGATGTTCTTCCATGTGATGAGCATTGAGCGTGAGATTTATTGGCAACTGGGCAGCATCACCTGTGCCGCATATCCTCTGCTGATGATTGACACCATTAACGAGGAGACTGGCAACATTAACAAGGATTCCGTTTTGAATTTCGTGGTGTTTGGTGACAAACTGGAGCACTTGGAGCTGCTCGATGGCGTTGTCATTGATCTGCTGAAAACCAAATGGGATACTTTCTGCAAGTCGCGTTTCTACAAGCAGTTTTATATGTTTGCTTTCTACTTTCTTATATCGCTGTTCAGCTTTATATTGCGTCCGGGTCCCGAGACCAAGGAGGACGAAGACGACGAACAGGACGGAAACTCTTTGACTCCTTCGAATGGCACTGCTCAGCATGATCTGTACACCAATGGTAGTTTGGGTCAGCCCAGCAAACGTGGCACTTCCAGCACCGAATATAGTAAGTTAAATCATATTTTTAAAACTTTAGCTTATTAAGCTTTAAACTCAACGCACAGAAACCTTTTGGCTTAACTTCACGGAGTATTATGATCCCAACGAGGTGGAGACCTTGCCTGCCTGGTGGCAAACCTATGCACAATGTCCGCTCATGAATCTCGAATCCGATCTGGCCAAATTGCGCATTATAGCCGAGCTGATTAACTTTGTGGGTGCCATTCTCTATCTGCTCGTTGCTTTGAGAGAGGCACGCTTCTTGGGCTACAAAATGTTCATCGAGAATTTGGTAAGACATTCCTCCAATCAAATCTGGTGAAGGATTGTAGCTTTAACTTAATACATATAGATACATCTAAGCCATATCTGATATTGTTTAGATGACTGCTCCATCGCGTGTTATGTTTTTGTTCTCCTGTGCACTCATGATGACCATACCCTGGCTGAGAGTCTCTTGTCTAACTGAAATCGATGATCATGTGACTGTTATGATTATGTTGACCACAGCACCCTATTTCCTCTTCTTTTGTCGGTGCGTAGAGTACATAACTAAATAGTTCTAGCAGTCTAATCTATACTAATTTACTATGTAGAGGCTTCAAGACAGTTGGTCCCTTCGTTGTGATGATCTATCGCATGGTAATGGGAGATTTAATTCGTTTCGTTTCCATTTATTTGGTGTTCGTCATGGGCTTCTCGCAAGCATTTTATATCATATTTCTAACCTTTGACAATCCCTCGACGCCCGAGGATCAGGATGCTGAATCGAATCCGATGCCCTCGCCAATGGAATCCATTGTGGCAATGTTTCTAATGTCGTTGACGAACTTTGGTGACTATTACGGGGCCATGGTGTCCACGCAGCACGAATACGAGGCGAAGATATTGTTCTTCTTGTTTATGGTGATTGTCAGTGTGCTGCTGGTGAACATGTTGATTGCTATGATGGGCAACACCTATCAGAAGATAGCCGAGATCCGTAACGAGTGGCAGCGCCAATGGGCACGCATCGTCCTGGTCGTGGAGCGTAGTGTGCCGCCTGCGGAGCGTCTCAAGAATTTTATGCACTATAGCCAGTCCATGTCGGATGGCAGACGTGCCTTGGTCTTGCGTCTGAACATGACCGTAAGTTGGCTAGTAAGTAATTGAGCAAATCTTCAATACATTTTTTTTTAATTCACTTACAGGACGAGGAGAAGGAGGAGATGAAGGAGGTGCAGGAGATGAAACGCATTCATCAGCGTTTCTCCAACAAGCGGCAAATGGAGCGAGAGGCGCGTGCCCTGCGTCGTCAGCAGGAGTACGAGAAATTCTTTGGCACCGCACCAAAGTCGGACAGTACAGAGGATAATATAATGTAAGTCAGTTACGAGTGAATTCCGAACAACTCCATACATATATAAATACACATAGAACAAGTTCAAGTTTTATTGAACCCAAGTATTTTCAGTTCTGTTCTGTTCTGTTAAAATTTGTTCACATTGTGCAATAAATGTTTAGTCTATGAGCTGTTTCAACCACCACTAGTGTGTATATATATTGCTAATTTATATTCGGTATCATAAAACTCAGCTTTACGACATGGCAAACAAACTAGCGACGCGTCGTCTTATTAAGGGTGCCAATAATGCGCCATTTGAATGATAATAACCATTTTATTATGGACGTCTGGCCAATAAATCCATTCAACGATTCCATTTCAATGAGTGTTGGCTCTTCCAACATATGCTGCATCCGTTTATCGATTGCACCATGAATGGGAATAAGAGAGCCTTGTCATTCTCGCATACTCACATCTTTATCATCTTGATTACGTAATTGCAACTGTAGCAACAGATTTGCTGAGGCCCATAACACCTTTCATTGTGCCTCCTGAGATTGTGAGGATGCAAGTGCAGGCAGACAATGGCCATTAGAGATAGAGAACCTTAAATCGATATCATCATCAGTGATCTACGCTGATTGACGATGCGTGGGATCCTTTTTACAAGGTCCTTTCACAACGACCGGAAGCGCTCAGTCCTTTATTGTTGTGCAAAAGAAAGGTGCGCAAATAGCGCTCTAGAAATAATCCGACTGTTCAGTGTTGCAGCTATTGAAAGTGTTAAAAAGCACCGATCTACCTTTTGAATCTAGAATTCTTAGCTGCTCAGCTTCCCAGCTTGACTTTAATTGCGTCTGAATAGAGCAATTTAGGGCATGCTGTGCGAGCACGATACTCTCAAAGTTCACAATACACTAGAAGAAAAAAGTGACTCAAGCTATGCTAAAAAAAGATTGAGTACGAATTGAATTTGGAACAATTGCTTTCTTATAAAGATATGTAAATAAATAAATTATAATAAATATAAAATATATTCAGCAAAGTAAGAAAACTTTTATGTTTTCTCTTCTGCAATAATCTTTTAAATAATATATTTTTTTTTATTTGTAACTTATTAAAATATCCTTCGCAACAATCAAACTGAACATTATATGTAACAAATATTATTTAAGTTAATTTCAGTGTAACTGCTTTGGTCAGCTTTAGCTCCTCCGGGTGAGGTTCCCAGTGCCATTTTCCATTGGCAGCTACATCCCTTGAACTGCGGTTGCACAATAGGCACCACATAGCGGCGAGCGACTTTAATGATATGGTGGCAACCCTTTCACGATCACAACAATGGTTTAGCCATAATTTGAATATGTCAACCCGAAATTCCCAGCTCTGGATTGGCTTTGGCCTGTCCTCCTTATTGTTAGACGTTTGATTCTCGCCACTCTCTGCGCCTTTCACAACGCTCAACATAATTATATAGTCTGGCTCTGGTTCTGTTGGCGAGGTGTCGAATTCGTTGTAAGCGACAATTTAATCACATGTTTTGCCAGCACCGTCGCCAGGACCATTGTTGGGCCTCCATTGTAGTTGCTAATGGGGCAGCTGGCAATGGGCTTCGAATTTTTTGTTGGGTGCAAACGACGCCCACTTCCCTTTTGTGTTCGCGAAATATATTTATGATATTTTCGTTTTTCTTTTCTTACATTTTTTTTTTTAGCAAGGTTCTTCTTGCATGACCTCCGCCGTTGTGTTTTCTAGTCCAAGAATAACCGTGCGAGTTTTGGCATGCTCATAAAGTTTAAAGATCTCGATCTCGGCTTGTTAATTTCCCCGTCGTAAAATCGTGACTTGGGTAAAAACTCAAGTTCGGACTGGTCGAGAAAGTTGGCAAAATTGTTTAATTACTCGCACACAAACATTGTAAAACAATAAAAACCGATGAGGGCCGCCGTTGTGTTCCCGGAAAAATGGTTTATGAGATCCGTTTAGCGGCTTTCGAGGGGCGTTGCAAATGACTTTTAAATGCAGCAGTCGTGGACCGATGATTGCTTTTTTCTTTGCCCGTTTTTATTTATTTTCAACTCCCCTTTTACTTGAACTAACTATCGCAATTGTTTGGATTTTTGTTCTTTTGCTTCCGACGCACACTTGACAAATCTTTTGGGCAGCCAAAAAGACCGAATCCAAAAGAAAGTCCTCTGGGACTTTTACTTTAGCTAAAGAAAAATGCAAAAATTATTCAAATCAATGGTACATTTAAATAAGAATTATGGTCTGAGCATTGGAGCTGGGTCCCAGGTGAACTGCCACTAGACCTGCCACAGCCTCTCCTCTGCCACTAGACCTGCCACAGCCTCTCCTCTCCCCGAAGTTTGCCTACATTTTCTTAATCTTTGCTTAAAATGTAAAGTTTGAAGTGTTCTTTGAGTTTATTTAAAGTAAATTATTTATGCAAATAAAGTAAACCAAAAAAAAAAAAAATACAAAAATGCTTGCAATTTATTTTGACAGTCTGTAGGGGTGTGTTTGTGTGGGTGGAAATTGCAAGGGTTGCTTTGAAATGATTCAGAGTTCGATTTGCTTGACCTTTGTTAACTCTGTTTACATTTTAGCTTTAGTTATTGATGTGGGGCTGTGTAGGATGGAACTGAAATTTGCCTAAAGAGAAAACTGCAAAAACAGTGATTCACATGAGTAACCCAAAAATTGTTTTGAAGCCACGACGATAGAGTCAAACAGTATCTCGGTTCAATTGTGACTATTAAAAAATAATACGGAAAATGTCAAAAAATGTATCAAATTTAAAGTTAAAAACGTGATCAAATTGTATCTAAAATAATCCAATCTTTTTACTCTCGTAACTTCATCAATACTGATCCGATTTTGAAGAGCAATACATTTTTGCAGATGGTGTGGCATCTAGAGCGAATACCGCATTACAAGTAAGAAACGTGGCTTTAGGTTGGAATTCAAGTTAAAATTCGAAGTCAAAGAATCCGGTTCCAATCTGCCATAAATTTGTCATACAGATTAATTCTGCATTTAAGTGTGCTAGTTTGAAAACACAGTAAATGTTTGCTAAATTTGTGGTATTGTCATTTGCAAGCGCACTTGTGTAAAGGTTTTGAAATCACTCTGCGATTAGATGCCATTGTATCAGTGAGCGTTTTGAGAGTTCTGTCAATACTCGATTCGGCCATTGACAGTGACAAATAGAAAGGGTCAAGAGTAGTTGAGTGTGCGGGACAGTCTATTATTAAGCAATGCAAACCGTATAAACTCTCTCATAACTAAGTCTACGAGTATTTGAAAATTGTATCTTTAAATATAAAATGGTTATGTATACTTTGGATATAATCAATACATTAATAATATCTGAGATCTGATGCGAGACACATTCTCTCTCCTTGATTGCTCTCACCCTGCTTATCTGGCTGTCAGCAAACGCCTCGCTTTGATTGGGAACCACTTGACGCTTATTTGCGGGGGTGCTAACAAAAAACCGCAAAGTTTTAATTGAATTTCCTGAACAAAATAATGTTTTGCCACTTGAGTCTCGCGGGAGACGCTAAACAAACACGACCAACAACACAACTGAATGACGAACTGACTGACTAACTGACTGACTGACTGATTGACTGAGAGATTGAAAGGCGATACAAGGTACGAGGTATGTATACATACTTAAGAGCTCAATGAAATAAATTCAATTCGCAAAATCAAATCACTTGAGTGAAAATACGCAATACAATAAAAAGTTGCATTAAAAATTCAACCAAAAGAAAACACAAACAAATCGACAAGCAGGAAGCAGAGAGTGGGTGGATTGGTTAGTGGAGAATGAAAGGCGTCGAAGCGAGCTTCATAGAGCTAAAGTATCGCTTTGATCTTTGATAGCATTAAACACGCGCAATAAAACTCTTTGACTTCGAATGCCACCAAACCCATTTGCCAAATGAGTGAAATTAATTACAAGAAGCCACAGCAAAAGAGGCATGAGGACAGAAAGTGGATGCACTCGTCGTTGGCGATACTCTGTATTGAATTGTTCACAATTCCATGTCTTATAACTACTCTTTGCCAGGTAGATAATAGATTGATAGTCTTTACCGATTTTCCAATTTAGCCAATATTTCCTATCCTTACTTAAAGTTCAAACCGTGTTCAGTTTCTTTGTCAATTATATCAGGTTATCAAGGTATATATTAAGGAAATATTGACTCTAAGTGTTGTCAACTACAGGGTATAATTATAAAAATATCAAAGTGGTTAGCAGACTGTCAACACTTTTGGTTTAGAGTTGTGGGTCTGAATCGGGGGTTTGGCAGCTGCCAGTGACAGGGCTCAGCACGTGGTGTGTTCTGTTTGTGGTTTGGGCCTGGACCTCATTTGACTGTTGGTAACGCCCCCGCACGCCTAACCAAAACAACATTGCTTGTGATGATAATGATGATGATGATGCCCTGAGGCGACCGCAGAATTTTGACACTTTTCGGGCAGCTAATTCTGTATGGATTTGTGAGCTGAACTCTCTCTCTTTCTCTCTGCGTCATTGCGTTACGGGGCACTCGGTCCAACTGTGCTTGTTGGTCGTAAACACACACCGTGGGATTCGGATTTGGGCGATGACGTTTTGTGGAAATCGCGCGACTGAACTGCACTTCAAAAGTCGCATTGAGTGGGCACTTCGGGCGGCGACGTTTTCGGGTCGAGCGACAACAAAAATTAGACGTACCAAAGCACTTGAGGAGGGGCCGGCAGTATTGCCAACCCCTAAGCGTTGACCCCTAACAGCCGTAAGTAGTAAGTATGGTAAGTATATATGCAAAAATTATAAAGAAATTTGCTCAAGTATTCAGCGAGCAGCGGCTCTTAAGTGGCCCGTTTCGATTACAAGGCAATCATAAGATGAATTCCGGCCTTATGAAGTGCTTCTGCTGCGGTTCCGTCGATGCTGGCAACCCTTTCTCGCGCTGATTGAGAAATTAACGTCGTTTAGCCAAGTGGCTGACGTGGTTTTAGGTTTGGAACTGGTTTATGGGATTGGGTTTGCCGACGCCAGGTGAACAAAGCCAGAGACTTTTGCATGTCCTGAACATTTCTTAGTTAATCTGTTATGACATCTAGTTGAAATATATAGGTATGTAGAGCGGGTGGTAGGGAGGGGAGGTCTCCGTATTCAGCTGGGCTCCTAATGAGCTCAAATCGAGCATGATTTATGAGTGCCATCGATATCCTACGCTCTGACAGCTCTTCAATTGCATTTGCATTGCCATTTTTGGTTTTTTTTTTCCCAGCCATTAATGGCGAGAACTTCTCACAGATTTCACACACTTAATCAGAATAGGAGAAGTAGCTGCTAAGACTGACTTTCAGGGCATTACATGTGGGCTTACACATGTTGCATCCTTTACACAAATACCGCAAATTGTGTGTGTACGCATATAGATTATGTGGAAAAGGTTAATTGTTTGGCCAGTCAGCATTTCCATTTCCGCATTGGCCGGAAATGCTGCAACAAAAACACATTCATACAATATAAACAAAATGCATTCATTTATTATTGTTCTATTTATTTTTACATTTTCTTTTTTGCTCCTGGTAGTTGTTGTCTTTGCGAACGCTGAAACAATTTGCAGCATTGGGCAACAAACACAATTCGAGTTCCGTTGAATTGCACACAACAAAAGGACGACAAAAGGACGCTGCTGCATTGCTGAGACAGCACAATTGGCCCAGCAGTAGCAGCAGTGTTTCGACCAGGTCAGGAATCAGGTGAACGAGAACGGATGTCGACATGGCATATGTGACCGCCCAATCTTTGCTTCTCTATGAAGGACTATGAATCCTTTGTTTAGCCAGTGAACTATTTAGCCCTAATGGGATGAGCTGAAGAGTTAGTTACGAGTATAGCCAGAAAATTTGTTCTTTTTTTCATAGCTTAACTAACCAACAATACATTGCACAGAATTGGAAATACCTTGGACGAATTTCAATAGAAATTGATTTGGATTTTCAATTAATATTACATTAGATGAATTTCAGCTTTTGCATTTAAGGTCAATTGTATATTCTCTATCTTAATATTGTCGATTTCTCTGGTCATTAATCGTTATTCTATTTTTGGTTAATATATACATATATTAAGCACACACTTATAGTCCATAAAACATGTTCATTATTCAAATCAAATAGTTTCTATCTATCTATCTTTCCACCACCACTGCGTAAATAATTTTTCATTTTTTTCGGGCGAAAAAGAGGAAAAATGGAAAGAAAAATCTTTAGATTTCGTGTGCATGCAAAATGCTCTTAACTAGAATGACACGTGAAAAGCGCAAAATCTGTAAAGTAATCAAATGGACACGTACGTTTAGGAAATTGTAATCAAATGCATATGTGTGTGTGTGTGTGTGGATGTGTATGTGTATGTGTGTGTGTGTGGGGGAGTGCTGGGAAATGGACAGTGGCAAATGGAATATGCGAACTGAACAAAGCATCCTATGACTGCTTACTACGTGAGAAAATGTAAGTCGTTATAGTTGTTGGGAGTGGAAGCGATTTAGCCGAATGTCCTTTATGCCAGGTGCAAGGAATACATACGTGAATTTTGGCCTCTGCTTTGGATCGCTTTGCTGGAGCAAGTGATATTGAAAACAAGTAAAACCAATTAAATCTGTTGCCAAAACGATTAAGACAGAGAATTCAATCGAACTAACAAAGTACACACAATATAACCTGGTTTAATTGACATTAAAGTCCGCAGACTTTTACCCTTTGTTCGCATTGTATTTATCTTTATGATCTCATTATAATCATTGTTATTATCACATTGGTTGCATTGTTCTCGAATTTAATTTAAAAATGAATTGAACGAAAAACCGAATTGTTTGTAAAAAAGACCTTAACCAGAGCCAAAGGCCCCATTCACAATTGAAGAATTCACAATGTCAACAATAGCAACAACAACGACAACAACAGATGGCAAACAATGAATCGCGCGACTCTCGGGATTTAACATTAAGCATGTAGAAAAGCGAATGAATGAAAGAGAGCAAATTGAAAACGGGCAGAGAAAGGCAGACAAGTCCTTTTAAAGGGTTAGAGTTCGGCTTAGAAATTCCAAATTCCAAATTGAGTATCATAATTACAGAAATGCTGATTGTACTTGCAGTCAGTTCAAATTGAGTGCTCATAAGAACGATACGTATATATATATATAACACCTGACACCTTGTCACGATTTTTTCACTACGAAAATAAATATGTGAAAACTGTAACTATTCTATGGTTGCTCAGCCCTGCCCCCTTCTCTTCCACAGTCCCTTCACACACTCAACAAACGCCGAAAGCAGCATTTGAATGCTAAATACGAGATGCGTATGGCAAAAAGCAAAAGTCTGTCTTCCTTTCTGCCTCTATCAAAGTCGGTTCTCTCTTTCCTTCTCGCCTACTCTCCTTGTCGCCCTCTCTCTTTCCCATTTGTATTCCACTGCTAAGTGAAAAGTAGAATGGATAGAAAGCAAACGCTAGCTGAACAAAACTTTTTCCATTACACAACACATCAACAGTTTTTTTTCTTCCTTTTCTATTTTTTGCTTTTTTTTGTGGACATAACAAAGGAAACGTTGAAAGTACTGAAAGCTTTTTATGCCCTGTAGTGAAAATGGTAATCTGGGAATATTAGTTTGTCAAAGAACGATATCAAAATTAATGTAAATATCTTAAAAGTTATGTTTATATATATAAAGCTTAATCGAAACAAATACAGGCAATCTTGGGGCTGGGCTGGAACATGGCTTAAATTGCTCTCCTCCAGTTTGTTACTCTAAAAGTTGTGGTATTTTTAGAACTCTGCATTGTTTAAAAAAAGTCTGTCTTGCAGGTAATTAGAATAGATTAGATTAGCTAATCAAATATAATGATTATCAGAGAGTATTTTATTCCTGAACGGGCAAGAAAAACACTTCATTTTGTTTATTATTTTCTAACTTTTTTGTTGCGCATTGTGCAATCAAAAGGAGAGCTCATTCATTCTCCCTCACTCACGAGCACACACACACACCTACACACACACACGCACACGCACACACAGTCATGGTCATGCATTTAGGTACACTCTATATAAATACTTATATAAATTTTGTTGGCCATTCAGGGCGTTTTTCACATTTCTCGTTTTTCGTTTTGTTATTGTGTTCTGTGGCGCATTGTGTCGCTTTTGCTTTTCCACTTTTCGTTACCAAATAAGTAAATAATTGCAGTAATATCCTTTCGAGCGCAAAAAAGAAAGCAACGAACAACGGCAGAGAATGGAAAGCGTGTTTCCATGTCCTTTTCATAAACTAAAATGTGCTTTTCACACACACTCACACACACACATGGATAGGTACATAAACACACTCACATACAAATTTGTCCACTCACAATACACATGCTGCTTGTATATAGAACAGAGAGCCACACAGACACCCACAATGGCCAGGGCATACAAAATTCACACCAAGGCGCCATTATGATTGGCTGAAAAGGTAAAGCCAACGGGCCACGCACACACACTTAAGCACACTAGCACTCTCTGAGCGTATGCGTTTCGGCTCTCACACTCCCAAAGCTCATCTCTCTCTCTGCTCTTCTCTCTCTCTGCTCTGGCAAACTACAACCATAAATGCCGCGGAAGTGCAGCGCCAGGCAAAACAATAACGGAAATTGTGTGCCCAGTGTATGCGAAAAATCAATGCAATTTTAACAAGAGAAACAGAGCCGAAGCGAAGAGAGAGCGAGAGAGAGAAAGAGAGAAAGAGAAGGAGGTGTGCGTAGGAGTGCGGGTGCTCCAAATGAGGTCGCTGCCGCAAAAAATGGGAGCAGCGCAGCCAAAAAAACTACAAACAAGGCGACCAGACACGAACCGAGCCGAACAGTGAGCGAGTTGTTATTGTTGTTTTTGTTGTTGCTGCTGCTGCTGCTATTCAGTGTTTCTATTGAACACACCCCTCAATGGGCAACAACTACAACTAACAAGGCGGCCGATATAAAGGAGCCAATGGAACAAAGCCAACAAGCAGCGTAACAATGCACCCAGCACCAGAGAGAGTAAAAGAGTGAGAACGAGAGGGACAGGGAGAGAAGGAGAGAGAGAGATAGAGAGAGCGCTAGCGAGTGAGTGAGCAGCATACAGCGCAGGTATGCGAGGAGCGAGAAGCTAACCTTGTGCGCTATCTCGCTCTGGCTCAGAGGCATACCTGTGGCATGGGGTTGCTGTTGCTGCTGCTGCTGCCGCTGCTGCGACCCAGAGAGGGAGAGAGAGAGAGAGAGCGTACGGCCGCAATGGACTCAAGCAACTGAAAAACTGGATTTGACTGTAGTCGTGTCAGTCTCAATTATTGCGCAGACAAATCAGTCAGTGTGTAGCTGTTGAGCCGAACAGAAGCAACAGCAAGAGCAAAATCTGCCAAGCACAGAGAAACGACGCACAAAACCCACATTAACCAACAAACAAACAAACAAAAAAAGAGACATTGTGGTGAACACAGAGTGAAGTGACAAGAAACAAGAGAACACAACAATTACAACAACAAACACGCACAGTGCACATTTTTCGACAAAAAACAATATCAAGTGATAAACGAACATAAGCACAATGGCCACATTATCGTCACATCCCAACTACGGTTTCCATTTGGGCACCGGCCAGGGATTGGAGCTACCCTCCCCTGGTGATTATGCGTCGCAGGGTTTGGGCAATGCTCAGCTAAGTCCCAGCATGGACATGGATATTAAGCGTGTATTGCATTACTCACAGAGCAGCGGACTGGCCGCCAGTCTGGCAGCAATGGGCGGCTCACCCGGCGGCGGCGTCGGTCCAGGCGGTGTGGGTAGTCAGGCGCCCAACAATATGAGCCACCATATGGCGCACCACATGCACAACGCGGTGGCCGCACAACAGACCCTCTCGCCCAACAGTTCCATTGGCTCCGCCGGCAGCTTGGGTAGCCAGAGCAGCCTGGGCAGCAGCGGCATGGGTGGCGGCATTGGAATGAGCGCGCATGGCGCGGGACCAAACACTGGCGCTGGCACTGGGTCGATGCACAGCTTGACCACATCGCCGGGACAGGAGGGACACATCAAGCGGCCAATGAATGCGTTTATGGTGTGGTCACGTCTGCAACGCCGTCAAATTGCCAAGGATAATCCCAAGATGCACAATTCGGAGATATCGAAGCGTTTGGGCGCCGAATGGAAGCTGCTCGCGGAGTCCGAGAAGCGTCCGTTCATCGATGAGGCGAAGCGTCTGCGTGCACTGCACATGAAGGAGCATCCGGATTATAAATATCGTCCACGTCGCAAGCCTAAGAATCCGCTCGCTGCTGGTCCACAGGGCGCACTCCAGATGCAGAACAATATGAACATGAATATGAACATGAACATGAACATGAGCATGGCACAACAGAAACTGGGTGCAGCTGGCGGTGGTCCGGCGGGCGGTGGCTATAATCCATTCCATCAGCTGCCGCCGTACTTTGCACCCTCGCATCATCTGGACCAACCGTATCCGGTGCCATATTTCACCGGCTTCGATCCGCTGGCGTTGTCCAAGCTGCACCAGAGCGCGGCGGCCAACAATCAGACGCACAAACACCTTGAGGCACAGCAGGCGTCACAGTTGCCGCCAACGTCCCTGAGCAGCTTCTACTCCGGCATCTATTCGGGCATCTCGGCGCCATCGCTGTATGCTGCCCACTCAGCGAACGCCGCAGCCGCCGGACTATACACCTCATCCTCGACATCGTCGCCGGGCTCCTCTCCCGGCACCATAACGCCCAATGGCATGGACGGCTCCATGGACAGTGCGTTGAGGCGGCCGGTGCCGGTGCTCTATTAGGCATCGAGTGCGGGCTAAACTGTCCCAGAGTAAAGTACAATTTGCATTGTTGACGCGTTCCCAAAGTGATCCACTGGTTTTAAATCTTTAAAAGCTCTAAGTAAGCCAATTACAGTCTAGTAGTTTTCAATCTCTGTATTTCTCGCTCCCCATCAAGCAACGCTCGCAAAAGTCTAGTACAATCTTTGCACAAGAAAGAAACCGTAAGAAACATTCCTAGCCAATATATATATATATATATATACATACATATACATATATTTAACCTAATATGTAATAAATATGTCTATAATTTATTGTCACTAAACAACAAAAACAAAAATACATACCTAATTGTAAATTAATTTTATTTAGTTCTAAGCGTGTGCTCCTTGTTGTTTTTGTCAGCACCATCCTCATATCCTAGTTACAACTAATACTACGAAACCTAACTCAAATTGTAAATATCGCGTGAATTCGTTATAGACTCAAAAAACACAACCCAAAAAATTGGAAATAAAAAAAAAAAAAACACATCCACACACAAAATATTCATAAATGTATTATTAATTGTATTAAAACAAAAATAAAACGTTTATATTTAAGGCGCAAATTGCAAAATATTTAAAGCGAATAAAAAACAACATTAATTAAAATGACAAAAAAAACCTAAAACATATTGAAGACTTTTTCTTTGGCCCTTTGCAAAAGGCTTAAAACTGATTTAATGAAGACAATATTAATCTTCATTTCTTTATGTCTTATGACATATATATTGGAGACATTTCTTTTTTCTCAGAAACAAGAATCATTAAGAGCTGTGTATTGAATAATTATACTCAAGCATCAGTGAAAATTTCCTGGTAAACATTTCAACATTGCTTTCCTATTAAATATAGAATGGTATCTTTTTAATTGCTGATCAACTTGTAGGATCCTTTAATATTTGGAGCGAACCTTCGTTAAATGACGAGATCTATCAATATTAACCTTGTCTCCGCATGTTTCTCACACACATATTTTGCTCATTTTTTTCCCGCAGTGTTTGGCTTTGTTGTTGTTTTGTTAAGTTTAATTTGATTTGCACCCAACAAATATTTGTGGTATTATACAACTATTTGACGTTGTATTAATTTCTATTGATTAATGCGCTGTTTATTTTGCGCCTTGGCAAACAATGATCTAGGGTATCCGAGATGCAAACAAAGGTCGCCAGATTTGAAGCGTCCAAGAGTATGGAGTATGGATGTATGGTCATCTGCTATGTGGGGCCTTTGTTTGGGCGCAACGGGGGCCTGGGCCATTGAAATCTTAGACGGCAAACAGATCCACAGACCTAGGGCGAAGAAATCAACGAGTTTTCAGTCAATTTCAAATATCTATTTTTTTTATTTTTTATTTCTATCTTAACTTGTAATAATAATAAGAATAATTGCGGTCATTAATAAATCCACTTGCATTGTCTTTCAGTTTATACGACTTGTCTTTCTCAATTGATTGTGTGTGAGTGTATGTGTGTGTGTGTGTGTGTGTGAAATGTGTTAAAATATCAAATATTGATTATTGTTGTTATTATAAGCATTGTTGTTGCTGTTGTTGTTGTTCCAACAGCGTGTTTGTCCCTTCTCTCGTCGACATAAATTTCACAAATATTTACTTTGCATTGACGTGATATTGAATAATTATGTAAAGAATGAGTTTTAGGCTAAGCTGCTGGTTTAATTTCGAGAGGTTGCCAGGTAAAAAAGCCGAAGCGGTTCAGAGAGAATGAAACCAGAGAGAGGATAGAGAATAGCGGAAGCATATGGAATATTAAGTGGAGACTGATTAAAGGGGTGGATTTAATAAATTCATTTCTAACATGATACAATAACAAATAAAAATATTGAAGAAATCCATCAAATAATCTAAAAACCAAAATATTTAAAAGTTAATTAACAATTTCTTAAGATTTATTTTTAAATAAGACGTCACCATGCATTAAGATTAGATAACCGTGTGAAAGAACCGGAAGTAAGGCACTCTACGAAGCTACTCGGCTAGTTTAATCTTAACTAGTTCTCAGCTGGTGTTAAACACATTTCAGTTAGTCTCTTGGCCAGCAGCTTTCAGCTCTACTTTTATGACTGCCTTCAATTATGATCCCAGCCCATTCTCGTACCTACTATATGGGTATATAGCCCCGTTTCTGCGATTTGTGTACGAAAATAATTTCGCAAAACAAAGGAGGATGACAAAACCAAATCGCAGCTATAATATTTTCTTTTTTACGTCTTTATTGGCGGATTAGCGTCGCCGTCGCCGGAAAGCAAAAGGAGTGTGCAATGTGGCGGGAGGGACTGTTAGGTGTTTTATTTCTTTATTCTTATATGCATACGATATATACATATATATTTTTACCTGCCCCGATGGCATTTCGGGACCCGGATTAACCACAGATATGGACGACGGGCGTCGCTGGCTGATGTCTGATTTTCACCGTTTTTCCAAATTGTTTTGTTTGCCGTGTCTTTTTTTAAGTGAAACGCTAATCCGGCGGATTAGCGAGACGGATTAGCACAAAGGTGATACAATTCGCCACAATTATTGCCGCGAGGTCGAAGGCAATACATCGTTTTTACATGGAAGGTTAGATGTCATAAAAGCAACGACAACTGCAATGACAACGGCAATGACAACGTCCAACACCAAGCTGGAAAGGGGTCAAGAAGCAGTTGGCAACAGTTTTTGCTGTTGCCTTCGTCGTTGTCGTCGTGGTTGTTGATGCTATATGGCCGTTTCACTCTCGACAGACCCAGGACAATATGGCGACTGCGATGACAATGCGGAGGAGAAGTTGGCTTCAAAAGAGTGGATGGAGTGTCCTTCGTCTGGTTTTACTGCCTAATTTGTGGGTGGTGGCTTTTGTCAAACTGTTTCACATTTTTCCTTACACCGGGGGTGGTTGTCCCACACACTGGACTACAAGATACTGCAAAACACAATTGTAGAAAATGTATTAATATGACCAGTCTATAGACGTAAAAAAGTGTAAGTGTATGAAGAGTTGTATATAAATTAATTAGCATAAGCATTTTAAGCCAATTACTAGTAATCGATTGGTTTATATTTGATCTCAGAAGTGTTGTTGTCTAGTGTGATTTATGCGCTGTTAACTTGCGTTGCTGTCTGGACGTGAAGCATATTGTTGGGGGTGGCGCGTGGTTGACAAGTAGCAAAGCGTGGCGGCTTTTAAGTGCTAGTTTGACATTTTTTTGTCGCAGTCGTTGTTGCTGTTTTTGTTGCTGTTGTTGTTGTTGTTGTTGTTGTTATGGGCAACCGAGCTAACCAACCAACCAGACCGTCAATAAGTCGCAGCTAACAATTAATTAAAAGCCTCGACACACAGCGCACTTAGGCAAATGAGCAGCCGAGCGTTGAGCGGCCCACGAGGCGTATGCGCGATGCCAACTGGGACATAATTTGTCAGGGCGCGTCAAAGCAAAATGGCAAATGCAGCCACCAACTGCAGCACCATCAGCAGTAGTCACAGCAGTCGGAATAATAGCCAAAAGGATAACAGCGATTCGTCAGCTCAGAGACTCGAGACGCGCTCTCGAGTGTTGTCAACAACGTCATTAACATGGCACGACGCCAAATGGAAATTAAATGATGATAAATTTGCAACACGACTCGACTGATTTGCGTGCGGCAGCAACAGCAACCGCAGCAGGAACAGGAGCCTCGTCTCTGGCATTTGCATAATAAGCAGCGGAAACTGCGCGAGGCGCATTCAGTTGAACAAAATTTGATTAGGTGCGAGGCATTTCATTTGTCAAGCCGAAGAAGAAGCGACCTGGCGACAACATCAACGTCAACGACTTGTTTTGGCCACCGCTGTGGCTCGTTGTGGTTGTGGTTCGTTGGCACAACCCTCTACGACATCGACTGACATCGATTGATGAGCTAAGAGTGAACTGGACGCCCATGTGGTGTTCTCGATGAGTGCCACAAACACTTACTCTCGATTGACGAGCCAAGGATCTGCGAAAAAGGGGCCAACGATCATTGGTAAGCAAATTTTACCTCAAAGGGATAAGGCAATCATAATTAATCAAAAGACCTGAGCAAAGCCTGTTTATGAAGGTTTAAAAATCTAGTTGTCAGTAAAAGACTTCTTTAAAAAAAACAAATGTATATAGTATAAGCAGATTATAATATGTGATTTTTAAACAGTGAGTTTTATTTATGGGTGAAGATGTCTAATCAGTAAATTGATTGAAAGTGAAAACAATTTAAAGTCGATAAAAAATAAATAAAAACTTTGATTGTAACAACACTTGGACACATATAATAGATTTTTTATGATTTCTATAAATATAATATGAAAATATTACAAAAAACCTTTAACCTTCAGTGTAGTAAAAATAAGAGCTATATTTTAGCTGCTTTGTCAGTTTTCCATGAATATTAATAATTCGAATTTTAAACACGCATTTCAATAGATAAATTTAAAGCAAACGAGAAGCTCGGCTCGCTTCAGTGGGTAAGGGGTTAAAGCTGCTGGCAGGCGTCCAGTGCTCGCATGACAATGGTTGAGGGGATTTGAGGCATGGAAGTTCCTGTCCTTGTGGATCTCCACGTGCGCGTTGCATTAGATGGAACGCCCGCCGCTAAGCCTGCAGCCGGGTGAGCTATCCATTGTCCGTTGGCCAGTGCGCATCTTCTCGCTGCAGAAGCATCCTCAGCCGCTTCATCCTGTGCGGCGATAAATGCGGCTGTCTAATGCATTATTGTTCCTGTCCAGTGAGATGATATGGATGAGTATGAGGCTGGGGACGAGAGACGGCGACAAGGCGACAAGGCGCTTGGCATTATGGAATTTCATAACTGCTCTCGAGCGTAATTTGTTTCCTGTTTACGCGCAGCAGGACATTTCGCATCCGCGTGCGCATTGGCGTATAAATTATTGCCCGAATCATGAGCTAACCACCACCAGAGGACCATATAGTCAATATAGCCATGTGACCCGAACCCCGGGCCCACAGACTCAAGTGTTTGCCCATTAATTTGCTGGTTAGGGTGGCTTTGGTAGCTAGCACGGCGCTCGCTGCAAATATTTGCATAAATTTGTAATAATTTTATCGTCAATTTGTTTTTTATTAGCGTGTTGCGAGCCACTCAACTATACACCTAACTCGCACCCCTACCTCCCTCTCTAACCTACCATCCCGCTCACTGTTCACTGCCAAAGCGCCCCCATTCATTGTCTAAGTAGCTCT